ATTCTGAAAAGGTCTTAAAGGTCCGGGAGACGCAGGGAGGCCTCCGTTGTCCTCCCACCGCTGTGCCGTGATGTGGGAAGCAGGAGTTACGTCTCTTAATAGAAGTGGCAGGCGTTGTCTCCAGTCGCCTCGATAATTGCAGCACCACGTCCACTGTCGTAATCAATCGGGACAGCTGCCGCCGGGGCGTTCAAGTCCATCAGGCAGGCGTGTCGCGCTAATTAATGAAATGATAAGGCGAACGCTTTGCAGCGTTTCACAAATAACTCCTGAAGGCGGCTCCTCTTTTCTACATGAAATGAATTTTTAAAGTTCAGTTCTCCCCTCTCCCTGCCTGTCTGTCCCCAGCGGCCTCGTGGTAAGAACAGTCACCGGGGTCAGTGATGGGTCAGTGACAGCGACAGGGGTCAAATTCCTGACTGGCAGGGTGGGCTGTGTCAGAGGAGCCATTAGACTTGAGCCGTTCTGTCCAAAGATCCAAGATGTCCACCCTTTTATTCAGGAGCGCCCAGTGGCACAGACCGTAGATGAGCCAGCTGTGCTCATGAGAGGCCGATGGCCGTCACAGTGCACATGAGCTCTGTTAGAACGAGGGGGCAGCCAGAGGTTAATGATGGTTCAACATTGCTTTTAGAGGAGCGCAGGACCTCAGATGACACAGTCAACATTTAGAGCTCTGTCTCGCTGTCTGTCTCTCTCTTTATATTTAAGGATGTGCTTGTCGTAATTTTCCTCCCTTTCACAACACTGGCATGGATGCCGTGAGAGGTGAATTTGTGCATATGTGTCCCGCGCCATATGGCTGGTGTTTGAGTTGGGATCCAATATGCGCAGGAAAAACCGATTCCTCCCGCAGCTCGAGCTGCCAGCTCTATGAAATGAACATTAGGTTCTCAATTTATGCCTTGGCTTTGACTGTAAACGTGTTACAGCTTAACACCCATCCCCATTCTGCTGCCATCTACTCCTTTTGTCAGCTGCGGCAAAGAGACAGAGAGAAATAATTGAAACGTGCCAGCTGTCCCCACTCTTTAGCTATCTTGGCCAGCTTTCTCCTCGTCCACTCTCCCATTAACATCTCTGAGTGATTTGCAAAAACGTCGCCTTGGCTCCCCTCGTTACCAGCTTGGAGATGCTCGAGGCAGATTAAATAGTGTGAGGGAAAGCAAGCCATTGCAAATTTCTCCTATGATTTTATTATTAGCACATTGATTCAACGCTGCTCAGCCCTTCTGTTCCTCTCATACAAAATAATTTTTGTTGAAATCACCCCACCCTTTTTTTTTAATGAAAGAATACCTCACAGCAACAAAGTGTTGATTGCCAAGACTGCTGTTTCCTGCCTCCTGCCAGTATCTGTTATAGCCATCTTCCACAGTCACTCACTGGTGAGCTAAGCCTCGGCTCTGTGCAGATTGCTTGTCTAGAGAGGAACAAAAACCAAATCATTGTGAGCTCAACCGTCAAGAGCAGCGAAAATATTCTGTCAACCAGAGCCAGTGGGAGACGAGTCAGCGTGCATTCTCACATACCTTCTGCACCCTCCAACGTCTTTCAGCAGATATGCAGCTTTATTTAAATATCGGTCTGCGCATGTCCTTATTTTATCAGTGCCGTGGCTGTTTATGCCTTAGCAAAGCCATGGAGGGAGTGAACCGCAGTGTTTGCCTACTATACGAGAGCAACCAGTGGCCTAAATCTTCCCCTACCCCCCGACCCCTCTTGCTATGGGGAGAATTTGCATACCCTTGTGTTTATTCTGAAAATGCTTTTTGCATGCAGGTTCTATTTCCCTAGCTGTTGTATGTACTGGCTTTGTGGCATGGTGAGCAGGTCATCTATGTAACTCACTTATTTGCATTCACAGCCAAACTTTGTAAAGGGTTTTAGTCAGAGGGCGAATGAGTCTCCTCTATGGTTCTTGTTGCATTTGTTGGGGCCATTTGCAGGTAGCCAGGTGTGTATTTGAAGTGGTTGAACCAAATGTTCTCGAGTGAATGTTTTTAAGGGCTGTAGCAACTCGAAGCGTTTGAGAGTCGAATAATGTTGTGCTGCCCTTCAGGGCTTCTGCATTGTGTTCTAGAAATGGTATGTGTCGACAGACTAGGCCAAGAGGCATATCCCTGTTATCCTTCACTGAAGTCTCTTTGGTGATGACACCCAGCCCATCCTGGTCCAGCTCAACGCCAAGCCATTCAAAGCTATGCCATCTGGCTACATAGAGACCACATAGGACCAGATCTTCGCCAGCTCCCTAGATGTTCCACTGGGACAAACTGGGTCACTGGATATTGTAAGCAGGAACAGCTGTGTGGCGACACCGTTCACCCCAGAGTCCCCGCTGGACACATCAGTCATGACCAGCCATTCCCAGTGGCCTGCTGTCCGTCTGCTCCCGCAGCCCCTGCGTCCTACGCTGCCACGGCAGCCCCTCACCCCAAACCCCTGGAAACCCAGACACGCGTGCAAAGGGCACGGCCCAATTCCCCTGAGTAAACAGTGCCACAGGAGCAACTATAAAAAGATCAATACTGGGATGAGATGTCATCTGGTGAGCAGACCAGCCAACACCCCCCTGGGAATGTCCCCCGTCCCCCTGGTGCACTAACCCAGCTAACGGCAGAGTCTGAGAGGGGGTGGGCACCCCCCACCGCCGGGCTGCCCTCCAACCTGCCTGAGTCACTCACACCATCTGCTCAGGTTCGCGGGGGCCGGGCTCCAGGACAGCACGTTTTTTGTACAAACACTCGCCTGCCATTTGTTTCACATGACTGCCTGTGGCTTTCCTACTGTTTCCCCCAGTGTGTGATGGCAGGGATCGCTATGTGTGTTTCATCGCCCGAGGAAAAGAAGATCAAAACAAATGCAGAACTTGGCAGTTTGCTTAAATGCTTGAGACTCCAATTGACAGTTGTGCGGCTCTGCGGCGAGGGGAGAGTGTCTGTGGCTACGTTTAGCCCTTAGGTGACACGTGTCAGAGAGACATTCCTGTCATCTTGTTAACACTGCGCATTAAGTTACACACAAAATGGCTGCCGCCGACGCTAAGCGGCGTGAAGGCAAATCTGTAAGTGTTCACAGTGGCAGTGTCTTATACCAGCCATTGTTCAATTGGGTTGCTGCTAAAGAGGCCAGACGTGCATTTTAAAGGTCTATCACACTAACTGCATTTGACTATCACAGGAAGATATCCTAGAATGTTAAAAAATAAAATAATTGTGCTGCCCCTCTAAGACATGAAGATGTTGGGGCTGTAATGGTGGTGTGTGTCTAATATTAACACACTGAAAACGTATAATTCTGTCTGTATATTTGTGGGATGTTTGTGTCTCTGCTTGCAGAGTGATTTTAATGAGGCATGTGTTGGTCCGGGCTGACTTTCCTTCCTCCATTAGGGCCCATTAGAATCATCGTTAAGATAACACGGCTCTGGCTCTGGCTTGCCGGCATTAGTATTAGAAACCCTTCTCCTTGTGGTCGTGGTGAGACTTCCTTCAGTATCACTCGCTTTGCATTGTGTCTGAGAGAAGAGGTTGCCACGGCAACATCACCCAACGGCGACATTTAGACTGGATATTTGCGTCACCGCCCGTTTTTCTGCCTGTGCCGCGTCTCTCCGTCTCTGCCTTCACTCTTCACTCGTTCTCTCTCGCTTGCAGGGACGAGAGTCTGACAGTTTAATCCAAATCTCTGCCCCCCTATAAATCTGGAGGTCTATATACGCCTGGACCCCGGATTTCATTTGAAAATCGTGACACCTTAGCCAGCCCCAGTTCTCCTATAAAAGGCAGAGAGCAAAGGTGGGGGTACTCAACATATAAAAAAATAAAAGCTCTGCCCTGCCTTTTTATGGGCCTTTTTATGGGTGATCCTTGAAAGATTAAGCAGGCTGTTAATAGGGGCTGGATATTCCATTAGTGGGCTGCATGTAGAGCTCTCGCTGGCTCGACGGCAGCCCATGGCTCCTCTGATTTTGTGTAGCTGTCGAGAGTGCCCGCAGAGTTTTATTAATCGAGGCGCTGGTGAGCCTCCTGACTGAAGTAGTGCTGCTTCTTGGCTGTAGATTAGAGCTGTTTAGAGAGCCTCATCTCCGCCAGGCTGTCTTCTCTCTTCCTCTGAATCTTTCAGCGTGTGAACACCTTCTCTGATTTTCTATGTGATGTTTCACTGGCGTCTTTGATGAGAAGATTTGGTAGTATTTTAGCTAATGTAGTTGTAGCACTAGTTACCATCCCCTCAAACTTAATTTCTTTGTGGCCGATTCTGCTTTTTTGTAGAGGATAATGCATTTTCGTTTTCATTCTGAATCATAAGTGCTTTGAGATTTTTTTTTTGTACGTAAAAGGTGTCGAAATGCTGTATTTTGTGCCACTTTAATTTTCCTTCTACAATAGCGTATAATTACAACCATTAAATTGCAACAGTCTAAAGTATGAAAAGTCGTTGTTCAGTGGAATGCTGATTATAAAAGCTCGCCTGGCGAAAAGCCCCCTGATGAATGGTAAGGACAAAGTGGTTGAGTTCAGAGTGCTTTGCTGTGGTTTCCTAAATCCCCCTGAAAGATCAGGGAGAGGGGGGTAGAAAGGCCAAGATAAAGGGCCACGATCTCTCCTCACAGCACAATTGAAACATAATTATTTCATGCCAGATTGTGTGCTCAGCAAAGCCTTGAATAGGGGCCGACATTTAACTTTAATTAGCTGTGATTTATTCATACTGACTCGATCGCGGGAAGAAATTGGATCATCTGATTATCGTCAAGCATGAAAATGACCTGATTAAACACTTAATAGAACCTAGGGAGGAGAGAACAAGAGGAACTTTTGTAGAAGACATTTGGACAGCTTATGGAAGGAAAGACTTACTCACCATTGATCCTCTGTATAGACACAGTACATGCACATGTTTTTGAATAAACATTCACATTGGACCAGTCAATACATGATTGACCCAGTCAGATTGGAGTTCATTTTACATTTTGCCTCTTCATGTCTTCCCAGGTGTGCCAACGAATGACAGTCCAGAGGTCAAGACTTGTAGCTCAGCCAAAGTGTCGGGGCTCCAGCGCAGCCAGGAGCAAAGCAACAGCGAGGTGCCCTTCACGCCTTCCGTGCCCAGTCCCACCCCAGCTTCGGCGCCCACGGGCTCCCCCGCCCCCGCTGCAGCGGCGGCCCCCCCAGAGCCCCCTAGATTGTACCTCCCCACGCCGCCTCCTCTCAGTGTCAAGAGGGAGCAGCACCCCGTGCCCCTTGTCCCTACCCCTCCCTTGTTGAGGGCTCCATCCCACCCCCACCACCAGCCCCACCCTCCTCACCCCCACTCGCACCAGGAGGCCCGTGTTCTTCCGCCCCCTCAGCACCACGCACGGCCAGTTATCAGCCACCAGGTGCATCACCCTCTGCAGTACAACAGCCTCCACGACATCAGGTGAGTTGTTGTCCGTGTCGCTTGGGCTTGATTCAAAATGTCAAATTGTTGTTACTTTGCATTGGTACTGGATCGTTCTTTAAATGGAGAATTGTATTTCTGCCTTTGTCTCCCATTAAATCTTTAGCCACAGCAGCAGTCCCCTGGGTCTACCCAAACAGCACTTGCACCCCTCCCCTCACCACCACATCAGCGGGCTCCCATCCTCCGCCCCCTCCTTGCCTCTGTCCATAGCTAATCTCTCTACCTCGCACTATTCCTCCCTACGGAGCCCGGCCCATCGCCATCCGGCCATGTTTGCAACCCCAGCCACACTGCCGCCACCACCGACCTTACCGACCAACAGTTTAGTGGTGCCCGGGCACCCTGCCGGCAACCCCTACCCAGGTAAAGCCGCGCATCTCACACGGTTGGTAGAAATGATTAGCTTCACGGCACACACAAACTCCTAGGATACATGTTTTAGTTCAATTAGCTTACATATGTTGACAAAATAACAAAGCGCTGCTGACATAGTGGTATTTATTGCACTAATTTACTTCATCAGGAGTGTGAAAGCAGATTTTTGTAAACAAAAAAGATTAAATACACACTGCCTTCACACTACACAATGCAGACTATGTAACCGTTTCTATAGTGGCGCTTTTATATTCTAGGTTGTGTTTAGTTTAGTCGTACTTGACTTCACTGCACAGCTCTACATATCTATCTATACTTGTGTCAACATTACAGTTCTAAGAAAGAAGGTCCTACATTGTGCATAGTGCAATACTACCAATGTATATTAACTACACTTAAACCCACATTAATGAGTTGATTTAAAAAAAATAACTATTCAAGTGTTCATATATGATTGGGTGATCTGGTAAGTGTTCATTTATTACATCACTTATTTATCTTTTGATTCTGTAAAACCGTCCATCCAAACATATATATTTATTTATATTTATATCCGTTACAATAAAATAGGTTTATTTCCTCCTGATTTTATGAAAAATGTCACTTAACTGAACTTAACTAGAGTATGTCAGTTAAGTTACATTTTTCATCTGCGTTTTAGTTTCAATAGTCTCATCTTCAATCTCATCTTCTCATCTTCTATGCACAGTGAACAAGTGATGATAACATTACAACATTACATCAATCTCTAAAACATTGTGTGTAAGTACAGCAGGTCATTCCGAATAAGTCAGTATATTCCTTTATTGTTCTGAAAGCAGTAAAGTTAGCGCAGCGGCTACAGATGCCTCAAATAACCTCATCACTTAAAAATATTTTGAAAGGGCACAAGTAAATCAAAGCAGTGAGTCACACGCTTTAATGTGCAGCCTTATTTTGTTGGAAAATGTCATAGTTTAAAAATGGTCAGTAATCTGATCCAATCTCATCAACAAGAATTTGGTTTACAAAATGTGACAACAAATTTGATGGAAACTACTTTCCCAAAACAAGCTTTTTCATGCTGCATACAAAGTATAAATATACAAGCTGTGCATTGCAAGTTTCTGAAAGAGGGCGAGCGCGCGTGTTTGTGTGTGTGTGTGTTTTCTGCTGGGATGACTCTTGGTTCTCTCTTGTCTTTAGATACCAGCCTGTTGATATCATTCAACCAACCAATCATGTATTGCCAGCCTCATTCGGGGATTCTGATTGGCACATTGTCACAGGCAACTCTCTTACCACCACCAATGAGTCCCCACGTAGAAAACCCTCACAGCATGAGCTGGAGAAACAGAGAATGCCAGGTGACTATTTTCTTTCTCTTCTACCCTTGTTGTGAAGACTCACTGGGCGCCCGTGCCTCTTTTTTTTTTTTCTTGTGTTCCCCCCCTTCCCTCCCCCACCCCCACTCCCACCCCTATTTTATTTATTTTTTGGGGGGGGGTTTCCTCGCTCTCCTTTCTTACAGAGCATGGCCTCCTGAGGCAGGAGCTGAACAACCGCTTCCTGGTTCAGAGTTCAGAGCGGGGCCGGGGGCCGTCCGCCTCACCACTGGCCCCCGCTTCGCTCCTGAGGGCTGAGTTTCACCAACACCAGCACATGCACCAGCACCAACACACCCACCAGCACACCTTTACGCCCTTCCCCGCCAGTCTTCCCCCGGCCGCCATCCTCACCCCGCCCACCGCACCCACCATGGTGCGTAACCAAGCCAGAAATGTGAGGATAAGTAAAAAAATTTAAAAGAAAACAAAAAGCCCGTAATTTCCCTCCCACCCACCTGTCACCCCTCCCAATCTCGTCTTCAATCAATTCCTCCCTTTACAGAATGTCCCGTAGCTGTAGAAACCCCTCTCTTCCAAAGATATGATATTGATTTATTTGGCATTTTCTTTTGGATATCTGCATTCTGCTAATGCCTGAGGGCGGATGACAAGCTGGGAGCATCACGTCTTTTTTTTTTTTAGTCTAAAAAGGACAAATTCCTGGGCAGATGAAGCCCGCTAGCTGCCAGACTACACACACTAGCACATTTTCTAGCTAGTTAGTTGCTGTTCAGGTTGGTCAAAGTACATCAATTCATAGAATGCTTCCCTTTTCATGGTGGCCATGTCTGCTAAAGCACCAAATGTAATATCAGTGAATCACCTTCATTTGAATGTTGACGTAGACTTTGCAATGCAGTGTTTGCCAAGGATCAAAAAGGGCTATTACATGGCAGGCAGGCTGGCTTTTCAAATGTTTGCATATGGACATGTTTTAAATCGTTTTGAATATTTTCATTTGCCTTCTCCCACAAGGAGCAACAAAGGCGCCGCCAACCCGATGTGTGTGTGTGTGAATGCATTCCTGCAGAGTTGTATATTTGTGAGGAAAGTTCTTCGCCACACGTTGTCCGTGTGCACGACTTTGACAAATTTCAAGCCTTGGCAGTTGATCAAATTATCTCACTGTAGATGAATGAGGGGGGTAACATCATTGCAAAACTATTTTGATCCTGTTTGTAATTGCTTCCATGCTCTCACGGCCATCACGTCTGGAAGGAAGGGGGCACGGGGTCAGATACTGGCAGATTAGTACACGGGGGGAAAAAGGTTATAACTATTCATCCATCATTTTAAATTCTCACCAATCTCTGACAGTCGATTCAGACGGGGCATCCATTTGTAGCTTTTTGGCATTAGTCTAATAGATCTAATCCATCATGTCACGACCTCTGATTAAGAGCCTGTGGTCCCATTAAGGCCCCGCTGCAAGATTACCCCCATCCTGTTCATTAGAAATCAAAGCTCTGGTATTTATGGCACAGTCTCAGATAAGTATAAAAAACGTTTAGGCCGTTCTTCAGCCGACACACATGCACGTTATCGGGTCTGCTGTTCATTCCTTACTTGGTAGGATTTATGTACAGGATAGAGTTCTCTCTTTGAAGATCAAAGAGGCGATTTACCTCATTGCACTAATGCTGGTATTATCAAGCACATAACCCCCCCCCCCCCATCTCTCGTTGTGCCATTACGATGGGATTGGAGCCATTAATGTATTTTTTTTCCTTTTAGTTGAAACTGTGTTGTTACTTAACCCATGTCTTCCCCCCTCCATTCCTCTCCTCAGTAATAATGCTGTTTTTCTTCTTTGCTATTTTCTTAGAGGGGCAGTAGTGATGATGATGATGATGTGGTTGTTTCTTTTTTTAATGTATTTACATGAAAAAGGAAAACCAAGTCTGGCCCAGTTTGGCATATTTTCTCTCTCTCTCTCTCTCTCTCTCTCTCTCTCTCTCTCTCTCTCTCTCTCTCTCTCTCTCTCTCTCTGTACTTTTATTTCCTCCCGCTATTTAGAAACTGTATGTCACTTAAGCCACGGATCGGTGCTTGGCTAATGGCTGTAATTAATGAAATTATGAAGCCTCTATTTTTGTTTATTGTTTAACACCCTCAAGCAGCTGGCGTGCCAAATGGCAGCAGTCAGTGTATTTCCTCCGCTGTCTCCTTGCCACTGCCATGTCTTAGGACAAGCCATATCCTTAATTGTTATAGAATGAAATATTAAACCTTAATTAGCCAAAGCTGTACACTATAAAACTGTGACAAGCAACATAAATCACCAGGGCAAGACTTTTTTTTTTTTTCACAAGATCGTAAAGCGGCCCAAATCCCTCTGACCGTGTCAGACATTAAACAGGCCGCGCCTTCGGAGCTGCAGAGGAGCTGTTTAATGAGCTCGGAAGCTGGCTCTGCGTTTCCTCTCAGTAGGACGTCTGTCTTTGATTTGGGCCCATTATCGCCCCGCGAACAGGGCCGCCAACACCATTGCCGCCGCTGCAGCCATTTTGTGTGCAGATGTGAAACGGCCCCTGCTTCACCAGAGGGCCCCTTTTCTCCTCCAGCCGCTGAGCCGACCCGGCAGCCGCTTTCCTCTTAACCACCCACACACACACTCACAGAAACACTGATTCATACGCACTCATTCTCCTGGTTAATGTAAACCCAAAACATATGCGCCTGCCAAGAGAGCCTTATGAAAACACTCGCAAAAAGTACCTGCAAATGGTTTGTGTATTTGCGGAAAAGGAATAAGTTACTGTCAGTTGTAATTAGGCTGTTTCGAAATAGAGAGCCAGTATTGGCTTACGAACAGACATATAAAGTCCCCCATTCATACATTGGGCAACGTTCTCCGTTCTCCCCCTCCCTCCCTCCCTCCCTCATGCCCCGCTTCTCAGCTTACTCACTGGATTCCCGTGGGTTCAGTACATGATCAGAATTTTTTTTTTCGTTAAATACTACAACATTCCAACTGAGATCATGCTGTTGACCTCAGGTCAATGCAGCGCGTCGAGGCGGTATCACTTTCAGGCTGATCTCTCCTAATATGTTTCCCATCGCAAAAGTCATCATCTCGGTTCAGTTTGAATCATAGCAAGTCAAACAACAGGCGTTCCATGATTTTAGGCTTAGGTCTGTTTTTTGTTTTGTTTTTTGATGTCTGTTTTTTTTAGTCCCCTGAACAAGCTGTATGTCTCTAAACACTCCTCCCCCATCCATATCGGCTGCAATAACAAAAAAGAAATCCTACAAATTTTCCAATAAATGGAAACCACTAGTCTGGTTTTAAAATGCTCTGATTCTCCGAGCGGGGCCTCAGCACCAAACCTCTTTATGCTCAATTGGAAAATCATGCAGAATGCCTTCTTGTTGGCTCTCTGCTAAAGTGGTCATATTGTTAGTAATTGAACTGCCTATCTGACCGTTTAGTAAACCCATGAACAGGGCAAGCCAGCTGCTTTACTCCAGGGCTTATTATTCTGAATTGGTTTGGTTTTTGTTGTGCAAAATAATATGTTGTTATCAAGGCTTTTATGTGATGGATTTTGGTAAAATATATCATTGTCTGTCCTAATTCTTTTCTCTTTCATTTTCAGTTCGACAAATACGCCCCCAAACTGGACAATCCCTTCATCAGACATTCAAACGTGAGTTTTATATTGCCGTTCAATGGAGCCATAGAGCATGGGTTGTTGCTGTGGTCTTGTGCTTGAGTCCCATACGATTGTATGATTTTGTTTTGTGTCTTTTTGTATCTCCGACCCTCCTCCTTTCTCCCTAGTTCTTCCCATCCTACCCCCCCGCCATGCCAGGCATGCCCCCGCTGCTCCCACACTCAGGACCCTTCAGCTCGCTGCAAGGAGCCTTCCAGCCCAAGGTCAGCCCCACACCCCAAACGATCTAACAAACAGATCATTTAAGGAATCGTATAAGGAAGCTTGTACACAATTGTAACACTTGTTTGAAATGATAAGCATGCTCTGTTGACATGCATAAAATGAGATGCGGGTTTAGTCACCTTTTGTCAGATTCAAAAAACAAAATGTCCTATATGTAAATGGTAACTAACGTGGGTCAGAAAGGTTAGAACCACTCAGAATCACTTAAGCAACTCATTTAATAAGTGGAAACACGGTGCTGTAGTTTGTGCTTGGATGACAAAACTGAATATGTGAATACGTCATAAATGAGATATTGTTGAAGGGTATATCCATAGATGAAATATCAAGTAAAGAAGTCTGGGCTGTCTGCTGAGAAAAGCCGGAAACCTTTTTACACTGAAGATATTTAGTAACCCTCACCCCATCCTATTCAAATCCATCCATAATACTGTCTTTACTGGACCTGAACTGGTGTCAGAACTGTGCAAACTGTGGCAGGCCGTGCTGAAGAGGAGAAAGGCATTACGTGTGTCTGTTTAGGAGAGCAAAGGGAGGAAGACTCATGGGTGGTGGGGATGGGAGGGAGAGGAGTAAGTGGGAGGGTGTGAGCTTGTCTTGCAGATGCCCAGCGGCTGTGACCCGGTGTAAGCCACCAATCAAAGCTGGCCCTTATCCGCTGGCCGTGTTCCCAGGGGGTTCTTTCATGGGGGCCCTTTTGTTGAAGGCCCCTCCAGATGGGTCAAGAAAACAGTCCAAATCCCCTGCTAAGTATTCTTGGAGAGGAGCCTTTTTTGGGGGGGGGTGTATGCTTGTCTGTGGGATCTGGTGACCCAGGTCACCCTGCAGGATCTTCCTCTCCCTGATGTAGGGATGGATTAATGAAGCTGATCTGGGCACTTAGAGAGGAGATTGGAGAGATCAGGGATGTGTGACTCTGGCATGGCTCCGTGTCGGCAGCTTCATCAAAGTTTTATCTGCTGACGTCAGCAGTAGCAGTCATCGAGGATTAGTGGGCCATCATGACATTTCCGAGCCTCGCTGCTGGAGGACGACATAATGTGAGGAGGGATGCTATTATCAATGACTAGAGGAACCTCCGCTGGTTTTAAAACGGAGCTTTCCACGTTTCCATGGCCAGGACGTCAGGCAATTGTCATCTCTGTCTAGATTCAAGAGAGGAACTTTAGATAGTGGAAGTGAACCCTATGATTTAAATAGTTACTCTTATTTATTATGCCAAATTTAGTTTTCATTTCAATGCTGAAGATTCTCCTAATAAAAGTATTATAACCTCATATGGTAATTTTGAGAATAATTTTGTGAGGCTAAAAATACAGTACAGTAAAACAGTTTTTCATGCCCTGATCTATAAATGTTTCAAATGAAGTTGATCTGGTTCAATCAATCCATCAAACTTTATTTCTGAATCAAGGTCCAGATGAGACAGGACAATAATTAGATGAAAAGATGACATACAAAAAACACAATACATAGGCTTGCAATGAATGACAGTTGATCACCATGTTCCCCCTGTGTCTCTCTCTCTCACACCGTCAGGCATCTAATTCCATTGACGTTGCGGGACGTCCTGGAGGAGTACCTCACACACTCCTACAGAAGGATCCACGGGTAAGCATCAGGCCCGTAGCATCCTGAACCAGTCTGCTCCTCCTCTGTGTCCCATGATGAAAGCCACACATAGAGAAATGTGAATGCATTCGTTCAGGGTGCTTGAAAGAGTGAATGAAAAGTGTGAATCGAGTGTCTAAACGCAGCAATTTGTCCGGCAGCTGAATTACACATTTTGGTTATTCATCCATGTTGTTTGATGATATTGATAGTTGGTTTGTCCATACAGATAACAGATCCATACAGGACATCTGTTAGGGTAAGTGGTCGCCCTGTCCATGTTTTTTGTAAAATGTTTCATCTCTCTGGCCAGGCCACAAAGTCTAAAACTGCAAATTATTCAACAACCCCTGATCGAGATAAATCGGGGTATTGGCTTCATTTAAGGATAGCTTTACGGTCTCAATTGAGCTAAAGTCAGGGTTCGAGTTTCTTAATCCATTGCCTGGTTGAACATTCCGAGGAGTTCCCACTTTGTAGTTTGGCCAGAAAATCTCAATGCCAGAATCGATTTTTAGCTCCCTGTAGCAAAGCCAGCAGGCTAACCTCAGTTTCTCTCAAAATTTTTAGAAACCTGGCAAGTGGTGTGCAGTGCATGTCCAGATCGCATGGCAGATCTACCACCACCAGCAGAAAATGAAGGTGCGTGAGATGGATAATGATGTCTTTCAGGAATCTTGCTGTCATGTAAAACCAGATATATTAGTATATTGGGAATGGAATGAATAGGAGTGCTCATGTCATAGTTGGATCTTTAATTGTACAGTTGTGTTACTGGATTCAGAACAACCATCTGGGTGGAACGGGCAGATTACAAACACAATGCTGTAAAAGCTAATAACCAATTACAATTGAAATGGCGTCTCCTCTGTTTCTTAATGCAGTTAAAACATTAAACGTTCAAAGCAGCCATAAAGGCTCTGTGCATGGCTCACTCCACTTAACAGAAAGACCATCAACCGCCACGTTTAAATCACTCTGAATTAGTAGTTGATGTAGTTGGTGTTTTGACGATTTGAGCACAAAAAAAAGCTGACGTGGAAATACTCCTCTGGCTGACAGAGGATGATGTGGCCTTGCCATGGAGGTCCTCTGCTAATGCCTCACGCCCAGTGGTGTCACTTTTTGTCGGGCTTTGAACCCCCGTTTCCAGGATTTAGTGTCCCTAATCAGCTTAAGTATATTTGTTGTAACACAGTGGGCCAGAAATGGAGACATGGAGCCATTGTTGATATATCTGTCTTCCCCTGATCTCCTTCCCCAATGCAGCCGAGGCTAAATCCCACTCACTCTGCAGTTGGAAATGTTTGCTACTGTAGTCTACCAACCTCGTTTATTTTGTCTGTCTGCCTCTTCTTCCCTCTGCCTCTCTCGATTACAGCAAATGCAGCTGGATCCTCACAAACTAGACATGAACGGGAAGCTGGACCTGTTCAGTCGACCCCAAGCTCCAGGAGTCTTCCCGGGGTTTCCGTACACTCATGACCTAGCAAGACCCATGTTCTCCTCCACAGGTTAGTAGCGTGTCCGAGTGACCATAGCAAATGGCTGCAGTCCATCTTAAAAGACAAATTTGTCAAAACACTGATATTATCCTATTTTCAACATTTTTGTCTTTATCTAGAATTTATAGCCGCACTTATCAATAATTCCCTTCTTGTTCCACCACTGTAATGAAAAGGCATTGTTTATTTTTGCGGATCTCGTGTAATGCTCTTAATTAAAGGTCCTTTGTTGCAAATGTTTTGCCAGTGAAGGGAGTCAGAAATGAGCATGAATATGGATGACTCTCAGTTAGGTAATTGACTGATTTTCTCTGCGTTGGAGGGCAACAGAGAGGCGAACGGCCTTTGACTGGTAATTATGCAGCGGTGTGTCAGAGGCACTGCTGTAATTGGTTCTTTCATTAACAATTCATAGAATATGAGTGGTGGTAACCGTGTTTAGTGAAAGAGGCCAGCTTGTCAGAAACTGACTTCAATAAGCAACCAGAGACTCACACGCGCAACAGCTGCCATAAAAGTATAATGTCGAGGGCTAATTTGCTCAGTGGCATTACTCAGCCACCCAACCGACGATCTAGCTTACGTGTATGTTCAACAACTCAGTGATGCTGTTGCAGCCATTTTTAATGTTGATTCACATTTACATTTTTAATCTTGGCTAAATAGGGGTCTGAATTGTGTTCACTGCTGGATTATAATTTTGGTTTGCCTCTGCGTGGCGATTTGTTTGATTGGATGATGATGACACTGTGGTATTCCCTGCGCTCCGATAGGCTCCGGTCACCCTGCTCCGTCTCCGTATGGCCACGTCCCCCATCCCAGCGGCTTCCTGCCTCCTAGCCATTTGGCAGGTAAGTGTAAGTAAACCCATGTTATACTCTTTTTATACACTTAGTTCCCACTTCTCTCTGTCCCTCGCCCACTCTCCCTGTCCTTTTTTTCCACACATATTTTAAACACATTACAAGCCATCAGGTTGCCATTTGATGACTAGATATTTGTAATGTAATCTTAAATTCATATTAGGGTTGATATGGTGCCTGATTGGCATCAGGAGTCAGTCAGTTGCGGCAGTTCTTGAGCCAACTCGAGTTTCATGGTAATTGGAAGAGAAGCTGTCAAATAACCAGACAGGTTTCATTAAAAAGTCTTAACCAGCCTCATATTAAATTCCATTATCCAAAATATATGAGGAGCAATCAGCATATACACTATTTTCTAGATGCTGGATAAGTGAATCTGAATCATGCGTGCTTACGCATACACAGCATTTGACTCCAGTTTATGCATTACTGCACATACTGAACATTTTAGAAGAAAAATATAGAAAAGATTAATAACAAAAGTAATGGAAGGTAGTTATGTTATGTTTTAGATTTATTTGTGTATCGAAAGATTTTTCTTGCATCATTTATTTTCCACCATTCTAACTGGTTGTGGTTCAGAGTGGCAAGTGGCTGTCATGGAATAAGCCCTCCAGTTGTTCCATTTTGTGCTTATGAATACATGGTGCTCTGAAGAGGAAGATTTAGAAAACAGCATTTTCCTGACCAGGGAATTCATTTGTGAAGCCGAGGAGATTTCTTCATTGTTTTCTTTTCTAATATATTAACAAGCCCCAGAGCTGAAAATCCTTAAACCCTAATCTTTGGATAAGTCCTGCATTTCCTGATGGATTTTTGGTGAATTAAAATGGGGCCTGCAAATCATCAGTTGATGAATGTTGTCCACTAACTTGTCAGGGTAACTGTTTGTCTTGTTCCGATAAAAGTGTGAGGCTCTAGTCTGCGTGGGCTGAGCCCATCACACGCCGATTCCCCATTTAAATCAGTGTGGTCTCTCTAGCCGATTTCCTCACAGCTTCTAATTCCCCTTTTCCGAGCGCTACTGTCTATTTTCAGCGCAGCTCCAACAACTCCAAATGAATTTCCCCATCCAGCAATGCTCTTGCAATAGCCCGAGCGGGGCCAGGGCCACTCCACTCCGGTTAGTGGCAGTGAATCCAGCATCCAGGCGACCTGGCTACTGCAGGATTACCAGGCAGAGAGCTAGGGTGGCAGCGCTAACAAAAACAGAGCTCGCTTGTAAGAGAAAAGCCGAGTGGAACGGGTGGGTGTTGGGGGTGAGCACCGCCAGCCAACCCCCCTTTTGCTAATCCCTGTTTGGCATTTTACAGATCCTTTCAGTCGCTCCAGTTCCTATGGCGGCCTCGGCAACCTTTCAAGCAGTGCCTTCGGAGGATTAGGCAACCCTTCGCTTGGTAAGCGCTGGCCCCCTCGCCTCCTCCACCGACTCCCCCTTTCAACCTGGCCCCCATGGCCAGTAAGAGAACAGAGCAGGACAGCGTTAGACCACAGGGAGAGCCAGGAGGGGAGGGAAACAAAACAAATCAAAACTCTCAGCCGTAGTTTTTGTGTCAAAAGAGGTCTAGCACAGGGAGGCCCGACGAGGCAGCGCAACACGCCGCTGCCATCCTCCTCCACTTCATCAACCAACCATGTCGCCAACAGTCTGGCTTTAATCTGGCTGTGCTGCAGCCAACAGGCCCTCCCAGCTCCGCTGTTTGGTGGCAATTCATCTATTAATTATTTGACAAGCCCCTTCTGCGCCACCATGGGGGGCTTTCTCTTTTCCCTTGCATCATTCTCTCCGTGCCTTTCTCTCTTTCTCTTTATCTCTCCTACTTTTGTGTGCCAAATTGGTCACCCTGTTGTGAAAATGGATGTGATTGGAATAGACACGCTGTGGAATGCTGAGGTCTCCCTCGGCTTTTCACAGCCCTCAACTCCAGAGGGCAAGTGAGTCTCCCCTGTTCATCCAGTTCAAGGAAGGAGGGGGCGAGAAGCCCTTTAGTCCGAAAGCAAATGAGTAGAGTTTTCTTTTCTTTGTCGGGGGGAGCCATTAACCTCTACCTTTTTCAAACAGCTGCAGTGAGAGAACCTTCAGAGACAAAGACAAAAGCAGCTTTTGTTGTCGAGTCTTTCTCGTCGTATGTGTCCTCAAGAAGCTTTTTTGTGCCCAATTAACTTACAGTGAGTCCCACGTCTGTCTCCCCCTTCTCTCCAGGGTCCAACAACATGTTTGGCACCAAGGAGGGACCAGGAGGACTGCCCACGTTTGGCAGCCCCCACCACGACACCTGGAACAGACTTCGACGCACCCCGCCATCTTTCCCCACCCCGCCGCAGTGGCCCAAAACCGCCGACACCGAGCGAAGCAGCTCGGCCAACAGCCACGAGAGAGAGCGAGAGAGAGAAAGGGAGCGAGAGAAAGAGAAAAGAGACGCATCCATCGGGAAGGAGGAGAAGGATAAAGACAGGTGAGGGCGGGGGGAGGGGCTGGTTGTGGTTTCGTTATGTACTTTTTAGGTATTTATAAAATTAAAAAAAGGATAATAAGAAATATATATTCTGCAATAAATCCTATAATTCTGTGATCAAATTGTAACCTTTGACCTTAGACCTCACTTTGCTTGTTTTCAAAAATCTTCTCATCTTGCACGCAACAAATGATGAAGAAATTGTAAAAATTTTAAACCAAAAACACTTCCCATAAGCACTGAAATACATTATCCCCACTCTAAAGAGGTGGCCTCGTTGATTCTGCTTTCCAGCGAGATACTCTGAGGATTAAATTATGTTTGGACATTAAAAATCAAATCAACCAAATCAGCTTTGGAGATACAACTGATGGACCAGAGAAACATCAGTGTATCTGTGGAATCTGAAATAAATTAGTGGATCCATCAAGAAAAACAGACACAATTCAAACAGGCAACAAGCAGCTCTGAGAAAAGTTCTGTCAAAAAATCATTTGAAGAATCTCTGTGGACTCAACGCTTGTTTTTGCTGGAACTAACCAAACCGTTATGTTATGTCATTGCAGGGATTCTGTGGATCGCAATCGTCACTCCAACCGCTCATCGCCGGCATCGGCGCCAGTCAGCTACCAGATCAGCAGCCTGATTCGCTCAAACAGCCAGAACTCCTGCGATTCGGGGCGACATCACAGTGGCAGTGTAGATCGGGTCCGCGAGGCGGAGAAGGAGCTGCTGGAGCGCCACAGGGAGTCCTCCACGCTGGGCGACGTGAAGGTGAAGGAGAGCCGCTCGCCTGCCAAGGAGATGCTCGAGAGGAGATCCTCAGAAGACTCCATCAAACCCTCTCAACGTTCTCCCTCCCCATACTCCAAGGCGGTGATCAATGAGCAGGGTATGAAAATGGCGAGCGGGCCCCCGCCCACCCTCAAGGACAGCGAGAGGAAAGAGCCCCCACCCGCGGAGCTCCTCCATAAGGTGAAAAACGACATGAAGATTAAGGAGGAGAGGAAGGAGGAGCAGGAGGTCATGGTGGTGAGTTCAGAGCCCGCGCCCCCCCCACCGTCCCAAGTCCTCTCTGCTCAAATCAGCCAGCCTATCAACCCGCACCACCACCACCCGCCTTTGTCCCACCAGCACCCTCTTCACTCGCCGCGTGGCAATGACATCCCAGCACCCGGCATGCACGGCGTCCCCATGGCACATTCTCTGCCCCTCTCAATGAGTGCCATGCCCCAGATGGGAAGCCTCAACGTGCTGGACCGGGCGCGCATGGCTCCCTTCATGGGAGTGAGCCCTCTGGCGGGGAGGGAGCGCCTGCCCCACCAGGCCTTCCCTTGGGACCCGCTCAGAGAGGCCTACCGCAGCCTGGACCTGCAGCGGCGCATGGACTTCCAGCTCCGGGCCGAGCAGGGACACCGCTTCCCCAGCGTGTACGAACAGGAACGGGCCTACCGCGAGAGGGAGGCGCACGACTACTCTCACCACGAGCACCTGTTGGAGGTGCGCAGGGAACACGAGAGGATGAGGCAGCAGGCGGAGGAGCGGGAGCGCCTCCACCTGAGGGAGGAGCTGGACCGAGCACGCCTCCATCAGCTGCACCAGTCCCCCATGGAGGGCCATCTACCCCACATGCCCCCCTTTATGCCCCACTTGGGCGGCATGCACTACCCTAGACTGAGCCCCTCCACGGGACACAACGGCCCTCTGAACAGAACCCCCCCGACGGCTGCACTCAGCGCCCCCCCGCCCCTTGTGCCAGCCGGCAGTGCCAGGCCAGCCTCCCCAAGGAGGACTACCCCCCTCACCACCCAGGACCCACGGGACTACTCCCCGTCTCGCAACCCCAAAGAGGTTGAGGCCCGGTAGCTTCTTACCGGATGCACTCGGTCCCCCACTCTCCAGATCCGAAACCTTTTTGTGAACAAAATGCACTGCTCTTATAACCAGATGAGAGCAAAACTTCCTAAGGGAAAGGGTATGATTGTACAAATTAATGGTATGTAAGGCTGATTAAGCACATGCCATGACTTTATTTTTAGTGGAGTGGAGGTTGAATAATCGTCGGTCAGGAGAACATAAATACGTGTATGTTTATATCCGACTTAAATATTTGATAATTATTAATATATTAATCAAATACCTTTTTTTCAGCTCCGTGTAAAAGAAAGGTCCTGAAATGAGTTTGTACATTTCTTATCCTTGTTCCATGTATAGATATCATTTCTATGAATTTTATGTATTTTGTGGATTAGTCATGCCTTTTACAATATTTATCCCAGTTGATTGTGAGACATATCCATTATGACCCACCGTTAAGACTGGATTTGGTTTCCTCCTTCAGTAATTTAACCTCATGGTACCAGGATATCCTCAATGGTGACAATGTACAATGTTACATTACAGATTTGTTTTGTTCATTTGTTTTGCCTTTGAGATATGCAGATAAATATATATTATGAGGTCTTTGTTCAGTCTCTGTAAAGAAAACTCATGTAAATAACCTGTTGATATTTCTTTGCTGCAAAATTACTGTGTAAATTTATTAGTCTTTTTAACCATTTCTAGAAAAACAAAATCAAATGAAACTTGGGGAAAAACCTCCCTGTTGAATATCATGGCAACAGACATGCCTGGCCAATGGATGAGAAGTACGATGAGAGGGTGTTGTAGGGGGGCCTAGAAGGATCATCTGCAATCTATGCAAAGCAGCACACAGCACCCTAATGAAGAAATCATCCGGAGGGAGCAGACAGTACTGGTGAAAGATACTTGGATTAACACTTGTTTATAAAAAAAAAAAATGATGGAATTATTGAGACTTCCAAGTCAAAAACTGGACCAGCCCCAGACAGAAAAGAAGGACACTTTTTAGTGGGCGGCAAAAGGACATTCTCTGTCAACCTTGTGGTGTTGTGCAGTTGTTTTTCTTAGACTCTTGTATACAAAACAAGTAGAGTTTTAGGCGTGCAAAAAAATGAAAATGAACATTCTTGGTTTAAAATGTACGGAATAAAGTTTGGACCTAATGTCATACATTTGTAGCTCGTCTTTCATCGTGGCACCCATTGTCGGTGCTGACTTAAAGTACTGAATCTGTCTGTAAGCCAAACCTACTGAGTGGAATGTTTATGTTAGGTTGATAGTTTTGCCAATAAATGCTTGTGCCTCCTGTTTTCAGCATTTAGAGTATTCGCTCATCTGATTTCAAGCTATCAATGCGTAATCATAAAGGCAACAGTCTCTGCCGGCGGAGTAGCCGACGCCATGAGATCATTTGACCGTAATCTGTCACACATGGCTGCAGTGCTCCTCGGAGGGGATCGATGAGATTGGGCCAGGCAATACATGGAGGGACTAATAGGACATTGATTTGTATAAAAGCAGTTTTTGAGTGTTTGTGTTGCAGGTAACCGGCATCGACTGGCAGCCCGCCCGCATATGGACGCGCGGTCGGGACTCATAAAGAGGAGCAATGCCTGGGAGGCCGGCTATCAGATGTGGGGGGGGGGGGGGCGGAGTGGGGTCCTCGTACGCCCCCTCCTCCTCATGCACACCACTCATCTGCTTTTCCAATGAGGCCGGAAGGCGCTCCGCAGCGTGTCGCGCGGGGGGCCGCGAGGCGCCCCGTCCCGTTATTGACGAGGCCTCGGCCGCGCTCGCTCGCCTGTCCAGAGACGGACAATTCATCCTGATAATGCCTCGACTACTCATCTCGCCGCTGTGTGCCGTGAGACACGCCGGTCCTGTCCCATGGCATCAGCCCATAATGACAGCGTGGATCAGACCGTGGCCGGGTCATTAGGGGATGTTATTGAAAATCAATGGCGCTCCTGTGTCTCACACACTCCGGCGGTTTGTCCTCTTCTATTTTTTTTTTAAAGGCCTCCTTGAAAAGACTGTTTGCCAGAATGAGGCTGGCGTATTGGGAAGACTTGAATCACTATCACTTTCAATTTAGGCTCCTGGTAATTGAGCCACATATTCCTGTGACGGCTAGCATCCGTCCGCGGCCGGCTTCACTTTAGCGCTATGTGCTCTTTGTCCTAATCATCTAGTCAACAACAGGTACTTAACCCCTGTACTTGTTACAGCATAGTGATTTTTCCTGTAACTATTATTTACCAAGCAAGCTTTGGAAGAACAAAAACACACACCTTACATTTTCCCTCGACTCGATCACTCCGTCCTGGGCTCCATCCATTTTACGGCTGAGTGTGGAACGGCCCCCCGGAGATGAAAAGCTCCATCAATTTCACTCATCGTCTGGCAAGGTCAATTTATTTCAACACACAGTCCATCATCGGATGGGAATCAATTGACACATTACCTAGCATATCTAACCCAAGGTAGGTTATTACCGTTTCTGCAATTGTCAGCTCTTTTCCAAAGCCATTCTTCACATGTCCAGTCTTTTTTTCTTCTTTTCTTGCAAGCCTTGTATATGATTTTCTATTTTTACTGGGGTAAACTTTTGAACATGTTTCCCTGTTAAATGGCACATTGTTACTACGGCAGGGCTTTACATAGCCGCATGTCAATGTCATACTGTGATTTTCTACACATTTCTCCACTATAATCCCAATTAATAGGATACGGTGGTATCTGAGGTAAGACATTTTATTGTTCCACTAATCCTCTTCATTTATCTGTAAAAAACCTCAATGCTGACGGTTTAGGATTGAATTTTCATGGTTTCAAATACCTCCAGAAAGTGCTTGGCACAGAGCTCACCCCAGATTCAGCGAACAGTGGAACAGGCCTTGAGGGGCTTTTATAGAGCACAATGGCAGCTAATAACACAGTGCCAAGCTAATAAGATGGGCAACAAATGAATGGTTTAGCCCAAGCCCCATTTCTCCCTTCGCTCTGATAAAACATCTATGAAAGCGTTTTTGAGCCACTATGTAGTGGCTCCCTAGACTTTCCCCCCAGCGAGCGCTAATGCATTAGTTCCCATTTGAAGGCTGTTTTGAAATGGAGATTGGTAATGAGACGGGAGGCCCCCGCCACGATCACATTTGGATTGCTCCGGCCTCCTCTGGGCCTGGTGATTTGGGAGACAGAGGCTCTGCTCAGAGTTCAAGCCCATCACTCTGCGGGGGTTAGAAAACCCTGACGAGAGCCATTCTAAACCACTAAACTGAGTCTGAACCGTGGACTGGGGGGGGGGAGTAAGCACCGAGTCAAGGGCTTTGGCTGTGGGTCCCTGTCGCAACTCTCTTTGTGGACTCCATGTTGTTTTGAGCACCTAAAAAGGCCAGTGGCGTGCATCATTCCACGTTGCACGTCTTTTTTTAGCCCTCAATGTCAACAGAGCGACAGCTGACAGAAACCAGGCCGGTCAGCGGTTAAGGAGCTGACTTGGAAACAGCCAAAATGGTGTGAATTCCAAACCCTGGTGACAAAGTGCTGTCTAATGTCCTTGCACCTCTGGTCAGATGACAAATATTCCGTCTGTCTCACGCCACCGCCGGCAATATGGCTGTAGGAGGAAAGGAGCCAATGGAGAGATGCACGTACTGTAAATTACGAACACTGGAGCCTCAGAGAGCATGTCGAGCGGGGAGGAGTGGAGGAGAATTAAGGGAGAGATGGAAAATAATGAAGTTCCCAACAGTCACCACCAGCCAAAATAAGTTTTCCACTTTAACTCAAGTTTGAGGATTTTCCCAGCCTTTAGTGGAACCTCACAATCTCCCACACTGGCCATATTATGTACACAAACCATAAAATACGAATAACATTTATGCAGCCGGGTGCGTCTGGCAGAGATAGTCCTCTCATTCAGGGACCTGCAGGATGGCACCGCGCCGCCACACTACCCTCTCTGTTCTGTGCATGGGCACCAGACAAGGGAAGACTTAAGGGAGGGTTGGGTGGTGTAAAAGGAAGCTCTGAGACTTCAAATGAGTTTTAAAAAAAAGAAGAGATTTCAAGGCAAATGGAGGCCATACGTGGCTCGTCCAATTTGGCACGGCCGACGCACATGATTAGCTGCAGAGACGTTAATCAAAAGTGGCTCAGTATTTGAAGGGGGGGCGGTGAGAGGCGCTGCCAGCTGGTGACAACATGGCTTGTGTGCGCGGGCCAAGAGTGAAGTTTATTTGAATATGGATCTTCTCCGTGACCGTATTTCTCCAGAGCTCAGTTAGCAGAGCGTTCCTTGGCTCGTCGCTGGGATCGCCTCGGAGCCGCTTTGGCATCCAGGAAGGCGGAAGTTCTTCCAAGCCGCGGAATGAGAATTACGGTTTAGTCCATCCCCTCTGGTGGTGTGGGCATGTTCAGAAGCGTTTATTCAGTTTGACGCTGGCACAGACGCAACACCTAGTTATTGGCGTCCGTGTGTGAGGATTTCCTTTCCAATATGAAATTATCAAATTGACAAAAATAATGTTTTTACAGCCTATGAATTAATAACACATTTCAAAATAAAACATCCTTCCACATAATATAAGTACTGAAAACACAGAGCTTGAATATTAAACTGTTGGTGTTTGTCGGAATAAGACCACCGCCGCACTAAATTTGCTACAGGACAGCATCTGTATCCAGCTTAACCTTTTGGTATCAAAACTCTTTAATCTAAATGTACTGGATACGCTCCTGTTACTACAGATGCTAAAGTTCTCTGAAGTCAGATCATATTCCACCACAAAAATCCAAAACAGGAAGAGCTCCTGAACAAGAGAAGCATGCTTGTGACAGTGATCTGTGGACCAACTGGGAGTGGAAAGTGAAGGATAATAATACTAATTACAGCAAAAGTGATTACTTAAACAAATCTTTAAAAGCAAGCAACTCAATATGACTATTTTACAGCTAATTTCTGATTTTTATAGCTTACTTTTGTAAGCATTCATTGTGATATGGGCCTGAAAAGGTCTCAAAATACTAGCTTAGTCATTTATAATGATACAGTGATGTGTGACTTTCTTTCAATTATTTCTCTCACTGAAGTAAGCATCCAAATTGTAATCTCGGCGGCAAGATTTCTTTTATTGAGTTAAGTTGTTGTTTCAGATTGCATAATACTCAAACCTGTTCATTGAAAGGGGAAATGCAGCTTAGATGCACGAGCCAGGTTATGTCAATGTTGTATTTATGACTTTCATTTTCATACAATGTTAATCTTTTACAGAATCTCAGTCAGTGTGGCAATACTTCCAGGGGAAGTTCCCCTCCTCAACAATATATAAAACAATCAAAATAGTTGCTATTTAATGATATTTCTCTCAGTTTGATACATTATCACAGCCCCGAGCATCCTTGTGTGCAGGTGTTCTCCTGATTCATATTGGATTATTATTGCTTCTTTAAACAGAGGAGGGTACACAATGCTATGCCTTGCATCAACAAGTCATAACTCTCTCTCAACACAAAAACAAAAACAAAGGAGGTGAGAAAATAGGTTGGAGAAGAGCAGGGAGATCTTATTCTTCATGAGACTTGCTTTGACGGGGCTTCTCAGCATTCCGGGCCTCGTTCTGCCCGCCCTCCTTTTGCTTCTTCGGAGATTTGTCTGGCAGCAAACGTGCTTTGAAAGGGGCTTATCTCCAATCTAGGCAGGAGCTTCATGCACCAAGATAACAAACCCCATCTTATCTCACTGTGTTCGTTAATGTCACAGCTTAAGGGGCTTGTTCTTCTACTTGCAATGGGGCTTGCAGTGCGAATTGTTTGCAGATTAGTCTGCACAGGCCTCTGGAGGTCTTGGAGCCCGTTCAAAGCGTTCTCTTGCAGCACACAGACGTTCTTGTTTGAGCACATCGGCGCGTTGGCCGCCTCCCGCTTCCGGTGTCAAATGGCAGGAGTGGCGCGCCCACAATGGTCGGTAGGCGTCACTACTCACAGTGAGATCTATACAGCGCTGCACATCACATCTGACGAACCAGTCGTGCAAGACAAAACAAAGATGTGCACGGCAGCCTCCCAAGGCCAACGATGTCCTTAGATCCTTTGTTAGTAATTCTGCTGCTGATCGCCGCGCAGCCTCAATCAGTGATATCTGCTGAGCCAACATCTTCTTGAGCTTAACAATCGAGGAAAACATTCAGTCTGCAAAATGCCACGTTTTTTTTTTTTTACTCCAGCTTTTGTGGCCAGATTCATGATCATCCCTTTGTGACACAGGAGACGAGGCAGAGCTCCATTGACTTCAGCCATCTGGCTATCACACACAACCCTTGGCTACACAGTGGCTCACTCAGCGATTGATTGGGGTGTTGAAGGCCAGCTATTTAACACATCAGAACAACAAGTACTGCTATCAAGCTGGCCCTTCTCATGCCTCGTTTCTGCGCCGCCCAAGAATGTCTCTTATCTCTTCCCTTGTGCTTGTTGGATTAAGCCAGACAGCATATGCCCACATTCCCCCTGCAACACACCGTTGTGCATTTGGTGCATCCCTGACAGTCAGACAGGTTGCCGCTGAGTTCTGGTGGGTAATAAAACGCATGTCTTGGTCGGTAAGAAGTGAGCCCTTAAAACCATATTGCAGCCTAAGGCATTTCCTTTCTTTCTTTCCCGACATGCTTTCCTGGCGTTGCACCAAAAGACTGACAGCTGAAAACAAAGCCCTGAGTTCCATATCATTATTCTTTCACCTGATTAAATTCTTATTAGCGCCTCTATTCTTCTCACATTATTGTTACTTGTAGTGAAACAGGCCTGATAATGTGCACTCGCTCACTCGACGCGCAACCTGCTCATTCCCATCTCTGATTCTTTGTTGTCGGCGAATAGTTTTTAAATGAAAAGTCTGAGCGTGGTGTAATTATAATTCCGGGTCTATTATGAAATCAAATATCACAATGAATGTAATTTTATTTGCTTGTAATCTCTCTCACCCAGGCTAACAGGCGTTTTCAAAGGACGCGCTCGGAGGGGGGGGGGTTTAAACAGCCGACCATCTCCACATAGAACGGCTGCTCTGCTCTCTTGCTCCCCGGCTCTGTTCTTTTGTCTTTGATACGCAGGGTAAGAGCCTGACGGTCGGGGAGACGTGGGAGATTTGTCGGCCTGTGATCTCCATGCCTCTCTGACAAATGAACGCCTTTGGCAGAGCTGCTGGAGGTACGGTTTCTCTGCCCTGCTGGAATCCTGATGAGACTGCTCCGGAGCCGCTGGTGATGAAGTCGGTGCACAGGACCAAACTGCTGCCAGAAAATGACCTTTAATCTACACACATGTAGGTCATTTGGCATGCGATGGTTCACGATTGCGCATACACTTCTTTTCCATTTCATCTAGTCTATTTTTGTTGATACGTTACAAAAACAGGCTGAAACCAAAGTACATTTGGTCAATGCACAATTGAATACATGTGCTTCTTGTGACGGATGTGGCAAATAGGTTGCATTTATTGACAATCAGTGATTGTTAATGTTTTATCTGTACCGTGGTTTAAATTAGGATGCAACCGCTATCCAGTCAGTCTTCATTTGATTTGGACTTAACAGCTCCACCAAGCACACAATTGCTTGACATTGATTTAGCAAATTAATTCAGTCCATGTAATTCCTCCTAGTGCCTAGTAAAGATCTCTCATCTGGTGTGTCCGCGCAAAGTAAGATGTGGACAAATTATGGGCAAACATTTTGAATCCCCCGAGGATAAATGTTCTTTTCAAGCGCCACAATTAGCAGGAAATAGCCGATATTGATTGGGGACATTACAAATCAGCACTGAGGAATCTCCAAACCTCAACGCCCCCACATTGCAATCCAACATGGTCGCCTTTGGTTTCCGCTCTGGGCTTCCAGGGGGCTGAGTGATGATTCACTGGAAGAACAAGCACTACCCCTTGTGGCTCAGTTGGCCCAGTGCAGCATGGGTAAATTGCATCTCCAGCTGCTTCTGGGCCCCTCCTGATAAGTTAACCTTGTGATAACATGCTAATGCCTGATTAATGTTGCCGTAATTAGACACAGCTTTTCACACTCAGTTAAGAGGACATCCTCCAGCAATTAGCCCGAGCCGGAGAGAGATAATTTCCGAGAGCACAGCGAAATCACATTCCTCAGCTCGCCTGCGTTCCCATTTGGCAACATTAAGGTTTATTTTCTCATTATTTCATTTAATTACTCGTTTGATGTTTTATACAGCTGCCACAAGTAATCTTTGATCCAATTAGGAAAGGCTGATTGACAGCGTGGGTGTGCGACTCAATAGCCTGCATTCAATTTACGGTTGTGACCTTATCAGAGGATGTGCAGAGGATTCTAACTTCAACATTGAATAGCAAACAGATACTAATTTCCCGCAAGAGTATATTCTGCAGGGATGGAACACCTTTGTTTTGCAGGCAAATGTGTTTGCATGTGCATCTGTCGGTATGATGCTTTAAGAAGGCAGCATGTGTTTGTGTTCTCCTCACCAGACATCTAACAATGAGGAATGAACGCATTAGTGTGGAGAGGCCCCTGTATTCACCCGGCACCACACTGCCCATTAATAATGCACTGCCAGGGAATAGATGGGGGGTTGCAGGGATTAGTCCTGCACTAAGAACTCACTGGCTATGTCTGTTAGAGATGTTGGTCTGTGACCAAATCAAGAAACATCAGCCCACTTGCGACTAGACTTTAAAATACAGCAAGATTTTTTTATTATTAAATTAAAGTGTTTGTTGTTTCAGATTGCATAATCCTCGAACCTGAAAAAAAAAGAAAAGAAAAGTGTCAGTCGTCTCTTAAGCGAGCTCTACACGACAAGTGGGATCCACAACATTGTGAAAGCAGCCAACATGAAATAGAAAGAGGTTTTGTATTAATACTACAACTCTTATCACATTGATGACAATTTAACCCACCACCCAGTTATGGGGAATCCAATCATCACTTTCTTTTGTTCTGTTCTTGATTTTAACCAAATCCTGAAGGAAATATTTGAACAAACTACATTTGCATTTATAATGACAAAAAATGTAAAACAACAATACACACTTTTACAAAGTTTATTTATTTTTAACACTGTAAAATGGAGTTGGCCCTTTTGTCTGCAATTTGAGCTTCTCCGGCTTCAAACTGTTTGAATAAAACTGTCTGAGAAGTTTAGAATGGAAATAAGTCTTTGGCCAAAGTGCTTACAACTCATAATTAACTGAAATGCCGCAAGGGAGCCAAACAATACTTTTTTTGTAATAGTTTGAAGCATAAAAAGGTGGAATTTTTAACAATTCATTGTACTTCACAGTATTTTGTCAAATCTGTCATTGATGTCAGATGTCATGATAAATCCAGTGGCACAAAAACGTTTAGTTAAGTAGAAGTAACCTAAAAGTGAAATAATGTCGAAGGATTTTAAAACTCTACTTGCTTTGGATATTGACCCACGATTGACTTGCGCTGTTACGTCCGGATTGCGCACATGATTTAAATAGATTGTGAATACCAGTAATCTAATACAGATTAATTTTCTGCATATGACCTAATAAATGGCTACAAATGGACTTGAATGACTTCGAGGCACATTGACAAAAGCCTGCAGTCTGCCTGGCTGTCTATGGCCGAGAACATTTGGCCAGTGTTTTGTTTTCCGTAATTATGTAAAGTAAATTGTGTTTCTTTTGTCAGACACTGATGTAAGGAATATAAGAACGTATTCATAATTATTTTCTTTGAAATCCATAATTAGGCAGATTGTGGTGGTGATCATTTTAATGCAAATGTGGTGGGCCATTTAATTAATTCATCCAGCAGTGAGGTGAAGCGCAAGATGGTGTTTCTTTATTAATTTATTCAATGTGTAGACCCGAGGGACTCTGTAGTTTCTGAGGGGCCACCGGCTGCAAGAAGGGGTTGGAAAAAAGATTTATTTTTTTGTCTTTTCCAAAACTTTGTTTGACACTAGGAATACTAAAGATGCCCAAAGACAAATATACAGTAGCTTAAAATAGATAAATCAAAGACTACATCAACTTGATATTGCAATTTGGGTTACATAATAAAAAATGCAACAACGGCAACAACTTTATGTTTTAGTAGGAGGAAGAACAAATACTATGTCTTAATTGACAATAGCCTAATTTTCTCACTGTTCTAACATAGCAATAAAGAGATGTCTGTTTTCATTTGAATGGTTCTGCATTTGACTGATTACCATTCGCCCTTATGGACGCGTTCATTCTTCATCTTCAGGTGGAAAGAAATCCCAGGTGAGTTTGTACCTTTTATCAAAGCGCGTGTTTGGGGCCCAGCGGCCCCTCCTCCATCAGCTGATGACGCCGTGACGTCACGCCCGAGCCTGGCAGGAAGCGCCTCTTGCGTTCAGCCGGAATACGAGGAGAAGAAACGGCGTCGCACCGAACTACCGGGGACGGCGAAACCGAGCGTTTGACGGTAAAGTACCCGTTGTGGACGCGCGACCAGCGTGACGTGACGGGCGACTCGTGGTCCTCTTGTCGCATCCGCACGGCGGGTCGACTGCTAATTTGTTAGCAAGCGCGTTAGCTTGGTGTTGTTGTGTTGACCGAAGTTGTGTTCGTTCACTTTACGGGTGATGAAATCCTTAATTCCTTCGACTCGATAGTGGGCGATGGGACGTTTAGCCAGCTTGTCAGGCGGTAAAGACGGCAAATAACGTTTTGTGGACCACTGAGCCGGCTGCGGGACGTGTAGCGTTAGCTTAGCTTCGTTAGCGGTTGTGCTGAAGAACGCTTTCAGTTTTAAGTTAAGCCTCGTTTTATTTGACAAGTCACAGACTTGCTTAAACGTTGCTTACACACTTCTATGCTAACTACTTACTTTACTTTGGCAAACATACAATAAGAATCATAAATCCACAGCAATGGATTCATAATCAAGTTCAAACCTTTGGGACTAAACGGCTCATTTATCATGATTTTGTCTAATTGGAAACGTGTATTTTAGATATTATATTAGCCGATATGGAGAAGGGAAAGGTGGATTCCCCTTTAAAAGTCATTTATGTTTTTTTTTTAAACATATTTTATTCATAATTTCAATGAGAAACTCCACCTGGCTGGAAAGAAAATACTTTGTTTAACATTTATATTTCTTTAGTTTTACCAGCACAGCCTTCACTAAATGTCCCACAGTCTGTTTTTACAGTGTCATAGAAGTGAACCCGTAACTTGTTTTTGCTCATCGTTTCTCGTAGAGGATCATTGGAGGATGGACGGTTATCAGAGAGGACGTCCGTGGGGAAAGCTCATCAAAGTGGACTCCAGTGAAACTATCCTGCTCTTTAACCGGGAATGCACAGTTGGCCGAAAAAAAGGTGGGTTCATATTCTGTGTGTGTGTGTGTCACACATTTTTGGAATAGGCACATAAAGATGATCTCTTCACCTGTCGGACATCTTTTAAAAACGTCTAACCTGCTGCCAAAGCTCCAGGAGCGGTGATGTCTGTTAACAGAAGGCCGTCCCTGTCTGTCTGTCTGTCTGTCCCCGTAGACGTCGCTGTCAGTGTCTGGAGCCCTTAAAAACCTCCCCCTTGAAAGCACAAAGCCTTCTTTAGTGCACCCAACTTAGACAGCCCCTTGTGATGATAACAAAAGGCATCCATTGACAACATGTGTGCAGAATATTAAGTAGTTTTTTCGTGTATGGGCTTTTGCCTAAGAAAAGGTTAGGCCTATATTTCCCCCTGTGTCTGCTTTGTTGTCGAGGGCTTTTGAGTGTCTAGCCTTAATTGGTGTCTGGGCAATAAAATGTTTTAAAGCGATGTCCATGGACTCAATAGTTCATTTGTTTATTTTAACGAATAGGCTCAATATTTCAAACTGTATTGCCATTTAAAAAAAAAAAGTAGCCCAAGTAATCAGTCTACTGTGTGTTTTTCTATTTTGCTGCTAGGATGTTATCTGTCCTTCCCGGCCAACAAACTGGTCTCAGGGGAGCACTGCAAGATTGTGCAAGACGAAAGCTCGGGGCTGGTGTGGCTTGAAGACACCAGGTACCAAACATTATATTAAACAAGCCATATTTTGGAAACGCTTTAAAACCTCTGTACAGTGACTTGTGTTTTTGTCTGTATGTACTTTAGCACTAATGGTACAGTGATCAACATGTCCAAACTGGTGAAGAAGCAAACCCACATGCTACAGAGCGGCGACATCATCTACTTTGTATACAGGAAAAGTGAGCCAGAACAAAGTGAGTTGTTCAGTTTTTTTTCCATTGCGCAATACTTTTATATGAAATATAAGAGAAAAAGAAAGAAAAACAATATCCTCTCTTGTCACACTGTAGACATTGCCTACGTTTACCACTCCATCCAAATGGAGCATGCCACGTCAGGACATACTTATGGTAAGCAGCCAGGTGATTCCCCGCAAGTCTTTTGTCAAATGTAACCTCTTTTGTTCCACAGCTGTCAGTTACTAACCCCCCCACCCTGTATCTAAACCTCAGAGATGGAGAGGGCGGCCCACAGTCCTGGCCCTTTCCCACTCTCAGTGGAGCCCGTAATGCTCCCCAAGGCTTCTCGTGATCAAACGCTGGAGGATCCTCAGCCCTCCACCTCCTCGTCCCTCTTCTGTATCGGGAGCCCCAACACTTCTGGTCCCGCAGCAACCACCGCCTGTCCCGCTTCAGGTGGGTTATCTGCTAACGCGCTGCCGAAGAGTTGTGATAATCAGCTTTCCGTCTGGAATTTAATTACGCATCCCATTTTTTAAATAAACCGTTGTGAATACGTATAATTGTTTGGGATTACAGTTTAAGCTCCTTACGTGGAATGAGAGTTCTGTGGTTATGTTCTCAGCTGGTTGCCTGGTAATGCCATGGCGATGCTCCAGGAAGTGACTTCTATCAGCCAAGAAAGAGTTTGGTGCACAAGTCCTCGTAAAATCCTATCATGTCGCCTTTGCACTTTGGTATTTGTACCTTTTTCAGACAGGACCAAGCTAGCCTCTGCTAAGCTAACCGTATATAGGCTGCAGCCTCATATTTAACGGCAGATCGGTTATTGGTCTTCTGTAAAGAAGGCTCACAGGCAGATTTCCTTGAATGACAAACTGATGCTTAATAGGCACAGGTACTAACAATATAGGCTACATCATTATACTGTACAGTATTTGATATGATAAGAGTATAACTATAACGGTATAACTTACATGCATCCACTCTTCTAAATGAACCCTCAGATCAGTCATTGATGTAAACAGACTTGCTGATGTAAATCAATCAATTCTGAACTTGTACGATATACTTGCCAGATGATGGAGTGTCCCTGGTTGTGTGTTGTAGCGGTAATGTCATCACACGCCGTCCACACTACCAAAGGGGCTTCTTATTGAACCCCTTTGCTCCACAGTGGAGCTGGTATATGTGACTAAATCTTTTTGACTCTCAACGTCTAAAGTATTGACAAAATGAATTGACCCAAGTCTCCTTTTTTTCCCTCCATTTTATCAGGCCAGGCTGAAGTTGCTGCCTCAGCGCAGGAAAAAGTCCTAGATGACATGGGGCCAGCAAGCAAGAAGAGGAAAACTGATTGCAGTAGGTTTTCATCTTCTTTTTTTTTATGTTGTGATTTCCTGACTTTGTAATTTCCTTGGCTATTTTACACAACTGCTTTCTTCTAATTGAGGAGCTTCTCCTTGAGTTTATTAAATCCCAGCGGCCATATGCAGCTTCTGATTAGAGTGCAATGCTACTGCGCAATGCCATTTCGCATGGTCGTCCACTGTGTTTACCAGCATTAAATCTTAAAGCTTCTAATAACAGTAAACTTCTTCTGGATACTTGGTATTCTGCCTGCTTATCCGCCAAACAGCGTATTACAGGAGCTCATTGATCCTCTTCTTCATAACTTCCGTTTACACAGGCACATACTAGTTCATGCCTTGAATATGTAATATGACTGTTAGTGATATAAATATAGGATAAGATTAAGACTGATATTTTTGTTTTAAATTTCCTCCTCCTATTATCACTTAACTGTCAAAAACCTCCAGCTGTAGTTGTAGATTAGTGTTGTTGTTACCTTATACTCTCCTGCACCATACAGATAATGGTGTGGTTTCTTGCAGAAGCCAGTTTTTTGTTTTTTTGTGTGTCGATGTCGTCAGGCTTCACTGTGATTGGCACATTTGATTCATAGCCTTGAGACTAGTGGTGTGACTGCCTGAGGCTGTACCTTTTAATCAGCACCCTCTTTCATTTCTTTAAGCCGGCCCTTTGGCCCTTTGCGCTGCTGCACATACATCCAACCAACCAAAACAGCAGGTGCACTCGAGATGTCCGCACACGGGTCCCCGAGATCCGCCACTTTGCCGTTTACGTCTCACCACTTTGCCCTTTGTCTTACCAGTCGTACCACTTATTCTTTTCAAGTCACACCACCCTGCTCTGTCTAAATGCGGAACTGATACACCACCACTGTGTTTGCAGTGAACGATTGTGATTTGGACTTGCCGCACACCTCGAGCACAGAAAGGGTCTGTTCGAGTAAGGGAGGTCTTCTGTCCAAGCCTCCTGTGGACGTGACGAAGACCGACAAGATGGAGGAAAGCCTGACGTGTGTCATTTGTCAAGACCTGCTGCATGACTGCGTCAGGTAGGATCGTCACAGATATCAAAGGGCGGGGGCTTGTACCCTACTTTGTGGACTTGTACGGTACTTTGCATGCATGCCGCATGTTGCCGATTGGCAGTTTAACTCTTAAGTCTCTGGTTTTTCCTTTTAGCTTGCAGCCCTGCATGCATGTCTTCTGTGCTGCCTGCTACTCGGGCTGGATGGAGCGCTCCTCTCTTTGCCCCACCTGCCGCTGCCCTGTGGAAAGGATTCGGAAGAACCATATCCTCAATAACCTGGTGGAGGCCTACCTCATCCAGCACCCAGGTATGCACAGAAAAATAACCATTTTGTAATCATCGCTTATTATTTCATTCATAATGCCAGCACCTTTTTTTATTTCCTTTTTTAACAGATTTATTATGTACGGCTATTTTTAAATACAGTTACACATTTTATTTGTCTGCCAAGTGCAGCTTTGGCTGAGGTTTTTGTTTCCCACTTAAGCTGACTTGATTGATACACAAACATGAGAGAAGGATTGGCATGTAAGCAAGACCTGCTTACGTTGTCTGATCTTCCAAAATGGTTTAAATTAAGAAAAAGACGCTCTCTCTCTGACTCTGCATCTGTGTTTCTGTACGACAGAAAAGTGCCGCAGTGATGAGGACCTAAAGAGCATGGACAACCGTAACAAGATAACTCAGGACATGTTGCAGCCAAAAGTTGAGCGCTCGTTCTCGGATGAGGAGGGCAGCTCAGATTACCTCTTTGAGCTCTCCGACAATGACAGTGACTCCTCAGACATCGGGTACGAGCTGAACTGACTTTGAATCTGTTTTATATCTACGTCTGAAATTGTCTAAATTAACAAAAATCGATATCTTTTGCCAAATTTGATTTTGGTCGATTGAGACAAAAACGAAAAACTTTTTTATTTTGGTTCTTGTCTGACCTTTTTTTTTTTTTTGCTTCATTTCTGTCCTTTTAAGGGGTCAAAAGCTAGTGTCAGCTAATCTAGGCATGAAGGTTGATGAAGTTAACACTGTAGGAAACATGGTTGGATAATAAATAAATTATATATAATATGTATGTATATATATATATATTATACCCTATTTTACATCATTAAATTTATTATTTTTGGTGTTTTTTTTTTAATTTAAAACATCAAATGAAAATTTTCAATATCTAGAAAATAAACGTGGTTTGAAAATCCTATCATATTTATGACAATCCTTGTCATAAACATGTGCTCATCTGTGTTTTGTGGCCTTGCCCCCCAGTCAGCCGTTGGTGGTGTGCCGACAGTGTCCCGGCTACCGGAGGGAGGTCGGCCAGGTGCTGTTTGCTACAGGTTCCAACTACTGGCTCCCTTCTCTGCCAGACCCACCGCCTGCACCTCCTCCACCCAAACCGGTGACTGAGGAGGGGCCCGCACAGCCTACAGGGGAGCAACCCTCAACATCCTCTGCCATCCCCTCAGGTGACTATGCGTGTGTATTGGATGAGACGGTCGGTTGCTGTGCTTAGGGTGAAGCAAACGAGGTACAGCATTCCCTTACAATCCCAATGGCGAAAACTATGAGGAAGACTCGATGAAAGCATCTGAAGATCGATCTTCCTGCCTCCCATTGACATCACCGCCTCTCTGCTCCCGTCCCGTCTGCAGCCTCTCAGGAGTACCGCTGCCCCCCTCAGGGCTGCCATCTCATCTGCACCTGCTGCCTCCAGCCGATGCCGGACAGACGGGCCGAGCCAAACGGCGAGCCGGTCGTCGCTCAACGATGTGGGTGGTTGTTGTTGTTACTCCCTCTGCACAGTTGTGATGTAACGTCGTTGCGGTGATAGATTGTGTCTATAGATTGTCGTGCAAACCCCATTACGCACCTCATGCTGTATGCATCATGTTGGCAGGTGTGCTGTGCCAGCGGCCCTTCTGTCACATGTACTGGGGCTGCCAGAGGACCGGCTGTCAAGGCTGTCTGGCTCGATTCAGCGGTATGTATCGGTTTCATCGAACCGCCTATTAGGCCCGTTGCCGGGTAGGAAGCCTCCACCTGTATGGGATGTATTTGTGCAAATGCAATACCTGTAATTGTGATGGTTTGTAGCCTCAGGATATATAAACAGGGTGAAAATGTTTCACTTCATATTTGTGTGAAGAAATGACAGAAGAATGAACATTGTTTATTGGCCCTTGTAGAATACGCGCCGTTTAGCATGTAGACAACTCAGTGGTTAGATTAAATATCTTAAAACAGGGATTTGTTATGTTCAGCTTTGAGTTTCTTTCAGCAGTGGCTTGTAGCTTCATCTATTCCTTTTTACGCCACCGGTCAATGTGGTTGAACCTTTTGTACATCATTTATTTTCTCCAACATTTTTGTAAACACTATTCAGACTGTCGTGAATCAAGCAGGCAAATCCAAACTTTTTAAAAAGGTGCCAAGCTTCTCGGATGTTTTTGTTCTGCTATTTTAAGTGTTGTAGTTTTCTGGATTTGACCTGTTAGACATTTAGCAATCTTCCTATTTCTTTCAGAGCTCAATCTGACAGATAAATGCCTGGAGGGGGTGCTGAACAACAATAACTATGAATCAGAGATCCTCCAAGTAAGACGTTGATTGTATTAATTTGTATATTAGAATCTGTTATGTTTAAGTCATTGGCAGAGCTTTCTGTTCAGGACATTCATGATTCTTTAAAACACTACTCGTTGGATATTTGTAATGTTAATTGTGTTCTCCAGATTACAAAAATATCAACGTTTATCAGCTAAAGCAAACCATGGACTTGAAAGTGTTGAGATGTGTCTTTGTTGTTCTGAGTGTGTTTCTATCCTTCCACCAGAACTACTTGTCCTCCAGAGGGAAGTCATGGAGAGATCTGCTCCACGAGTCTCTGCAGGCCTTCCAGCAGGGTAACTACTATCTGTCAGGTGAGCCTTCTGTTAATAACCCACGGCAGACTTTGAAGTCAGGAGAAAGAGTGGTAATATCCCCGGCTCTTTCTCGGTCAGATTGGCGTATCTCTCCAAATGCCATCCTGTGCTTCTGCTGCGGGCTCCGAGCATTCAAAGAGTTGGCCTACAAGTACAGACAGAACATCCCCATGCCTGAGCTGCCAGGTCAGAAGGACCGTTTTTAATGCCATTACAAACTTTTAGACCACGACGCAGACATTTTTCATAAGATTGGCCCCAAATGTTCACGTTACATCCGTGTAATGAATTAATTAAATGTTCTTTCCTCAGCCGCTGTTACTTCTCGTCCCAACTGTTACTGGGGACGCAACTGCCGTACACAGGTGAAGGCACATCATGCAATGTAAGTCTTTTTACACATAAAGAACCCCTTAAACATACTAAGAATCTAGAGTCTATCTGCCCTCTAGCGGTTATGTGGGAGAATTCTGGTTTCTCTGCGACATCATATAAATAAGCCATCATTACAGAGAGACACAGGGTGTTGGTCCTTTGCATGTAGTTCACTCAGCTCACCACAAGAGGGCGGCCTTGTCTAAACCGGGTGCTGTAGGCCCTCATGTGGTCTGCTGTTTGAAGACCTGTATGATAAGCTTCATCTCATGTCTTTTTTTATGTTTTTACATGCAGCTCTTCATTCATGTGGTTTCTTTTCTTCATTTTAAATTTCAGGAAATTCAACCACATATGTGAGCAGACACGTTTCAAGAGCTGAAGGAGCAGAGCGGAGTGTCAAACGAAGACGGCCGAGCATCTCGTAGACACAATCTTGTTGCGTTTTGTTGTGTCCGTTGTAGTTAAATGCCTTCCAGATGTTATGCAATAATTAATGCAGAAATTACAATCATTACCCATTTACAATAGAGGCCATTGTCTTACTCAATACAGGGGCTTTGTGAAATAATGCTATGCAAACATTTAAAGAGATCTTTAAAGTAAAGAACTGTCAGAGCGTTTAACACCAGCCACCATTTTAAATTCAGATGCATTGGCCTACGGTAATTTTAGGCAAGACACCATATTTGGGTCATTGGAGAGTTGTTTGTTGAAGATACTTCCTGACATGTGTGGTAAAATGTTTTCTCTGATTAAGAGCGAGTGAGGCAATCTATGGATCAAAGCCAGTAATGTACGCTTGCACAAATTGTTTCAGACCTGTTTGTATTTTGTCTCCTCTAGCCTGTTATTGAGGTTTTAAACATCTTGTGTCCATTAACCTTCTTCAGTTTTGATAGATTTTAACAATCCTATGGCATGTTGAGTTAATAATGCAGGTCTCCCCTCATCATGTTGAATTACAGGAACAGTGATTCAAGTGCTACAGTTTTGAGCCAAACCCAAATTGGTTTCCATGATCCAACCGTTGGTTGACATTTGAAAGGGAAAAAGTCTCTCACCTCCGAGGGACTTTTCTTGTGCCAGTGCATTTCTGTGTTCCTGGACCAGGGCAAGAAGCCACAACAAAACCCTGCATACATACTGGGGTAGATTTATACTCCCATGTGATGTTTGTACAGGATTGCTGAAGGGGATCAATGTGTCGGGAGGCCGTCAGAGGGCATTGAGGCCTCTGTTGTATGCTTTTCTCCGGATAATCATCTCCACGGTGATTAAGTTGTCGAAGGGACGCTTTCTGTGAACCTTACAGTAAAGGCTCAGCTGGGGTGACGTGCACAGTAACTCCGTGTGGAGACTGTGGAGAGGAATAAAAAGGTCGCACTCCAGGCAACCAGTAATGGTTAATGTGGCTTTTACTGACCCGTATAGTTTTCATATGCAAATCTTTACAGAACACGTAGAATAGCAAAAGCAACAGGTCAGCGAATTGTGGCGATACAACTACAACACTATGTTCTGTAATAATTTGTGTTGCCGGTTGTGTGGATATTCTCTGGTGGGCAAAGCTGCTGTTTTGTCACTCAACATTCATGTTGAATCTGATGGCCTCTCCTTAATTGACCTTCATCACCAGAGTGTTAGTGAGTCCCCTCATGCAAACATGCACTGCTAGTTTTGATGTCCACTGTTAAAATCCGGCTTTTGTTCAGTCCATCAGTACGTTTAGGAGAATACCCACCAAATGTTTGGTACCTCACACGAATCTCGAAGCGCTTTTGTCCAGCGTATGGGATGTCGATACTCTGCATATGATTTCCACATCATATCAAAAGAGCCAGAGTTTGATTCCAACATGAAATGTTGCTCATCAGGAAGAGAAATAAATATATATATATATTTTTAAAGGACACCCTTGACAGCCAAGTGGAATTGCGCATTTTCTATTATTGTATAGTAATGTTAACATTAGCCATACAAAATAAGGATAGAACTTGTGGGTTTATTTTTAGAATGTAGTTATGATTCATATTTTCATTTAAAATGTCTGTGGAAAAATCTTGAATGGGAATTCTTGCCGTAGCACGTTGGTGAACAGCAGTTTATTTGTTGTGCCCGCGAGGTGCTTTGAGTTTGTCTTATTTTTCCACCCCGTCTGTCATGTAGGGTCCACACTGGCATTCCTCAGCGGCTCAGGGCCTCGGCCCAAGCCCGTCGGTCCCCCGACAGAGTGGCTGGCTTTTAATTATTCCCCACTGGGACAACTAGGCGCCCTAAGCCAACTGTCCCGAGCCGCTCCAATCAGGAATCGGTAATAAAGAGGCTTTGGAGGAGTGCTTTGCAGTCTACTAATATTTACTCACTTATTCTGCTAAAGTCTGGACCACGCTGCTCGGCAGTATGAAAGAAGCGGGTTTCATTCTACCTCATCACAACTCCAGGAATTATGGGACACTGAAAACGGGCGTCGATCACGTTCAATAGAGATGCATTAGGCACATTTGAAGATGTTGTGAGGACTTTTGTTTGAGGAAATCCAAGAGTTTTATAAATGGCTCTTTACTCTTTGTTGTATTAGCTATGCTAAAATATTTTTGAAATGCATAGATTGGATTTAGTGATTTAGATTAAAATACATTGGTATGTAGAAACCAATACCCCCCCTTAATCATGTGTCTTATTGATTTTCTTTAGCTTCTTGTGTATTTGTCTTTGACATCAGGCGGCTGCTTTTATTTTCATCTGCGGATGGTGGAAAGTTTTTCTATTCATCCAGTTTATTACCAAGTCTGTTTTAACACACAATGAATTTACTTTTCTTTCAACTCTGTTCTCTTGAGACTAATGATGACGGTATTTTTTAAATTGGTCCTGTGTTGAGCGAGACTGCTGCAAAAAGAACTACGTAATGCCCCCAGAGCACCGTTAATGTGCGCCTACAAAAAGTGCTAGTTTTTGCCACTCAGTAGCTCAAATTGTTACTGTAAGTGTCAAAATTGTGGAAATGAGCCTACAGAGAAGTAAAGGTTTTTCTTTGTGTTGTCACGAGAGGGTTAAGCCTCATCCAAGCTATAAAAATCAGTTAAATATCCAGCCATGACATTTTTATAACACTAAGCCAGGCTTTCTGTAGTACCACCGATTGCAATTCACAATCATAAAAATCAGCACAAAGTGCAATGGTTGGTGTATCATTCACTGAAACACCTTTTCTCGATGCGAACAATATTTTTTTTAAATGCAGTTCCTTAGCAGCAAGCAGCCTTATTTTCAATCTGTCTACACATTACATTCAGACTTCTAAAAACAATAAAGCAACAATATAACATCGCAGGTAAAAAAAAAAAGTAGTATGTTCATAAAAGTCATGTAGCAGTATAGATTACAAGCCGTAAGAAGTCAAGTTGTAGTGTAGCATATGGGAAAACTTACTACTTAAACTAGAATAGTTATAATTTAGTATACAATAAAAAGGACATTAAAACAGTCCTGTTTCTTTTAAAAATGTATTTCTCAAAGTCCCAGTAGTAAGTCATTGCAAATATTACAATATGGCATGAATGCAGTAATAGTATAGAATGTTTTATTAAAATGTGCTTTCTTTGACTTTCCTGCTGTAATACAGCAAGCGAGTGCAATAACTGATCAGATTAAGGACACAGCGTGTGAATGACATAACTTTTATTAAAATTTGATATTAATTCAGAACTCTAAATACTCGTGATTGCTAATTCTCTTTATACTGAATACTAGTGAATATTAGTATAGTAATTAAAGTATAAGCATATAGTATACTATCACTTTAGATTTCCCTTTGATAATCCAGTATCAGCCTTAGGAGTACATGTGGTATGAAGAAACTGTTGCAATATTAATATCAACGTACATTTCTATGCTCTGTAGTACAATTTGGGGTAAATAAGTATAAGCATTTGTTAGCTTGTACTAAAAAAAAATAACCATATGAAGAACCACATTAGGGGGAAAAGCAGTTAGCTGACACATGGCAACTGTTGAAAGCAAAGTGCAATGTTTAGAGTATTATAACTTACCGAAGAGCATCAAAGTGGTAAATAAATCTAGTTATAAAGTGCTACTAACAGTCGAGGGTTCTGGAGTACTCGCTCACAAAATACTTTTTTGCTCATCTGCAATCTCACCTTTTTCTTTTTCAAACAAATAATACCGCAGCAATCATGGCCATGACAAGGTAAGCAACACAAAATTTCATCTTTGTCCAAACAACTTTAAAAAAGAAAGGAAAACAACTAGAGTGAGACGGCGGGACAGAATACGCTGGGTGATCAGCTTGTAACAGTTGATTTCACAAGTGGAAGGCGTACAGGTTACATGTTACACAAAGTGGCCCACTGGAGTCCCTGCTCTGTCGGCAGCGTGAAGCCCGTCCGCTCACACCTGGTTGGTCATGCTGAACAGCGACTGACCAAGAGACGAACCGCTCTCGTAGACTGCGCTCGACCCAGTCATGGCGGCGAGAGTGTCGGAAGAGAGGGGGCCGACCCCTCCCGACGCCTGGCTCCCCCACGGCCTCCGCTCCGGTCTGGCCCGATGCCTCTGTGGGCTGAAGCTAGTCTGTCCGCCGCCGGGCTCCGCCCCCTCGCGTTTCCCCTTGAGCGATCCGTTCGACGCGGGCGCCTGGTCCAGCTGCTCGGCCGGGACGAGGGGCTGCCGGTCCTCCTCCTCGCAGATGGCAAACACGGGCACGCTGATGTGGTCGCTCTCGCTCGGGAAGTCGCGCCTCTTCCCCGCCTGGCCGCCCTCAATCTGACTCTGGCTGGAGGGAGGTGGGACAGAGCCGGGTTCTGACGGGGCGGCCTCGGCGTGAGGAGCCCCGGGGGCTTTAGTGGGCTCCGTGGCCCCGGTGAGGAGGCCGAAGCAGGGCCCCGTGAAGCGGGAGCGGCGCAGGTTGCTGGTGGAGTTGAGGCGCCGTTGCCTCTGGGCGGGCTGCGAAAGAGGGTAGGAGGCATTGCTGATCGACGAGTCGGAGTTGCCGCTCTTGTCCCCCTTGGTGTCCAGGTGAACGTCCGAGAGGACTCTCCTTCTGTCCTCCCCTCCGCAGTCAGCCACCAAACTGGACGGAACCTGGAACATGACATGAGATTAAGAAATTGAAGTATCTCAACCCTTCTGCATCCCCAATACGACAAGAAAATAGTACTGTTTGAATACAATTCGAAAAGACAAGCTTCAGTCATGTCAAATCAAAAAAAAATAATCTGCATAATTTGTCCTCATCAACCCTCACATGCCATACACGGCTCTGTGTGTGGAAACATCAAAAGGTTCCGTTACTGACGCTGTCCACCAGCTTGGTGAAGGGACTGTTGGAGTTCCAGCTGCACCACTTCTTGTGCAGCTGTGGCAGAGGAGGGAGGAAGTCCTGGAAGGTGCGCACGCTCCACGCTCTGGGCCTGGCACAGCCGCCGCCGCCGTCCTTGGGAGACCTGGCGCCAGCGGGCGAGGTGGCAGAGTCTGGCGAGGGCCAATCGCCCGCAGAGCTGGGGCCGGTGTCGCTGTGACGGAGAAACCGCTCCCTCTGCTAAGAAGGATCACATAGATTAGACCAAGTAGTCTGGGCCTGTCGAGCTCTTGAGCACGATACAGTGTCTCCTGGAAGACGCATCGTCTTCAGCTCCTGAAAGATGATATAATACGCCATTTTAAAAAAAGGACAGGCTGCTGCTATAGCTTATTTTCTTTACAGACAAACATACTAATAATGAGACTTTTTATAATATAAATGATTTTAATTGATATTTTTAGGACATGTTAAACCATTTTTATGACATGAACTAGTTTATTGGCACACTATGCTACAGTTTTAATAATAGTATGAATTTTTATGGCAAACTAGTGGAAGTTTTCACCGCAATTTCATCACTAGGCGTCATTTCATTGACTGACTATTTTCAATTAAGGAACTGCTTTAAAAAAAATCATGTTCATCAATATAAATGAAGACGAAAAGAAGGATGTGGGACCTGAAAAGTTGGCGCAGCACATTGGCCCTGCATTTGGCAGGGGACTGGTGCCATTTTCCTTCTCTGCTCTCAAACATTAAGAAAATGACTCTGTATTGCAATAACACACAATCACATAGTAGCATCACATGACCCTCATGGTGGGGTATTAGGAATTGAGTGGCAGCCAGTCTGCTTATTGCACCGTCTACATTTCCTCCCAACCCCTGAATTTCTCCCTGCATGTTGTCTTGTGTTCCATATTAATGGATTAGCCACAAGGAACTGTACTGATTAGCTTAGCGCTCAGTCACACAACCAGCCAGCTAAGCATTTGTGCCTCACAAACCAATCTCAAATCATTCTTTTTTAAGTAGAGCTTTTAAGAAAACAGCAGGGGGGTGGGATTGATTTCAGTGCATTACAGCTCCATGCAAGTCACTTTTTGAGAGAATACTTTCCAGGATAATTAACTGGTGAGATGTGCAAAGGCGATGTTATCCTCCCTGATTGGTCAGCTGCTGTTGCTTGGGGGAGGGCGAAGGTTTTAGGGGTTGCAACCATCAGACAGAGAAGGAGTCCAGATAATCCTTTACACAGTCACTAGCAGCTAGCTTTGTCTAGACAAGAATTAGCTGGGGGTTTAAATGACGTTCTTTTAAAGCGCTACAAAACAAAAGATAACTTTTAAATTTGACAGACAAGGGGAGAAATCAGCGATCTAAAAGTTGCTTATAAGCCATGGCTTGATAAGGTGGGGTCTAAGACCCCAGAGGGGCGACTGCAAAGGCCTGACACTCCCCAATAAAACAGAAACAGTTGACTTAAGTCTGTTGAATTTAGGACAGCGACGAATGTACGAGACCGTTTTGATCCAGACTTCTCTTGATTCGGGTTTTAGCATTTTCCCGTCGCTTTATTGCATCTGTCAGAGGTCTTTAGCAACAAAATAAACTAAAATGTTGGTTCATGGCTGGATGCACGGCTACATATTCGGTGGTGTGTGGCATGGAAATATCACGCCGACCCGAAAGTCCACCTGGCAATGACATTGAGAAGATAAATGTGGTATTTTTATGGTGACCGTGGCTGCTGTTAACCAGCGCGGCCTTTCTTAAACATTGTTTACATGGACATCAGCATTGAGGAGACACACAGGCAGACCACACACTGCGTGCCAAAGTGTTCATGACGCACGCACGCACACACGCACGCACACAATTGGAGCTGGGAATCTGGCTCTCTAGATAATACTCCATTAGCCTTGGCTGCAGGAAAGCTTGCCAGTCCTTCATAAAGCTGCCAGAGCGGGGTTTTTTTTCTTCACCGACTCTTATTCCAGGAAAATACAAAAGAAAGCAGAGAAAAACATGCTTGGTTGAACAGTTTTTTAACCCTTCTCCCATTTTATCATTATACAAATTTTCATCCTCGTACTTTTCATAATTCCAGACTGTACCACGTGTGAGCCTGTGGAATTGTTACGTTTAGGAACACTGGGTCATTTCAAAGCTATTAGAGCCCCGTATCCTCTGATGCTCATGGGTTCAGGGTTCATTTGTTCAAAGCAAAGAGATCACCCACTGCCAGTTTGGGCTTGAGATCAAAAAGGCAGTTTCAGTCTCCACTGTATAGTATCACGACTACTTTCAGATAGCGGTGGACAAAGCAACTGCCAGAGATTGCCATCCACCGAGCCGCCCAACAACTAGCATGTAGATTGTCTCATGAATGTCCAGCCTGCATGAAACGGTGCCTTACCGTGTGAGGCGAGAAGGGCAGCCTGCTTGGGCTGGTGGCTGAAGATACAATAAAAACCTCATCTGCACCAAGGTCGAGTTCAGTCAACCCGCTGCAGGAAAGGTCCACCTCTGCACTTTGGGAAATGTCACCGCCTGCACTGACTGCAGAAACAGACAGAATAAAAACTCAAGACACAAACTATGTCAAGATATGTGATATTTATGATGTTGTATTCGAATCGGTGGGCTAATCTCATGTTTGTAAGCAATGTGTTCTGGTGTAACCTTCTTACACCGTGACGGGAGCACACACAGAGAGGGACTTTACTCCCCCGTTGTTCCAACTACTCCCAGACTGCTTTGTGGGTTAAATGCCACAACCCACAAATCTCTGGGCCTGGGTTCAGTCCCAACGAGAGAGAAAGAAGCCTTTGGATAGTTCCAGGATCAAGTCTGTGTGCTGGTATTAAACTAATGCAACTTCCCCTTTCATTGAACACTCTAATGACCCACCCAGAGTCCTAAGAGGGTTCCTCGGTTTGTTTTAATAACGCAATACTGATTGAACGCAATACTGCTTGTAACAATCGAAGAAAACTTCTGAAAAGTCGGTGGCAATTTGCCTGTATTAGAAGAAGCACTGGACAGTAAACACGCGCAGAAATAACCACAATTGATCAACATATAAAGAAAGCGCGCCAACAGATACACACCAGCAGAAAATGGTAAGTAGGTCCAGGTACATTCCTCAAACTCCGGGCCTCCACTTTTAAACGACAGCACCAAAACATTAACAGATTGTTGCTTTGCCAGAAAATTAACTAACGATAAGATTTACATTGAGTGTGTTATTATAATTCCTAAAATTATTTTAGTCAAAAGAAATAGAAATCAAAATCTTTGGGAAATCAATTGGCCTTTGGGTTTGCTGCAAATCCTTTAGCATATAGTCATATAGTTTATCTTTTTAAACACAATACATATTTGTATAGCGCTTAAAAAAATAAAAATAAAAAAAAACACTCAATGCACGTCACATGGTAAAAGATAAATAACACATATGTTCATCATCGATACAGTATAATTCATTTGAGTGCAATTGATCGATTGTGCGTGCACGTCGAGTGAGAGATGATTTAGTCCTAACCTGTGTGTGGCGGGCTGTCGTTGTTGTTGTCATGCTCCGTGGTTCCTTCCAGGTTGCTCTGATTCTCAGCCATCAGCTGCAGCTCGCTGACCTCAGCCGCCGTGTTCTGGACTCCCTCCGGCACCTACAACACCAGATTACAGCGCAACGCACTCCAGTTAACCGCCCTCGTGCATCGTCAAGTTCATACCAGAGGTGTCAGGTACAGGTGTTCTGAGAGGGAATCGAGCGCAACAAAACCAGGGTCTTGCAAGGACTTGTATCACGGCGTGCGTTTCATTATTTACAATTCCCTTAAAGCCTCAAACAACCTCTCTCAAGCTGCATGACCCGATGACACACGCAGCACTCTGTGGAGCCACAAAAGGCTTCATACAGCTGTTTTCACAAAAGCAGTCATACTCCTGAAAACAGATGTGGAATTCCACTGATATTAAAATGAATGAATCTGAATGACAGTAACAATATCAACAGTTTACAACATTATTGCATGATGTAAATCACTATAATCCGGTTCATCATTATTTGTTGCCACACTGTATTGGTGGTGCTGCTCTGTGGGAGAGGGGAGTGCCAGAGCAATAGACTTCAGGGGCAAAGAATATTAAACGAAATGTCCAGTGATCCCAGATAATGCTCGGGTTTCAGAGGAATGTCAGACTAACAAATAAGGCGATAGTCAGTAGGGGAGGAGAGAGAGTGACACGGAGACAAAGGGAGAAGATACGAGCGAGTACACAGTGTTTTCCGTACCTCAGAGGTGCTGGATGCACAGGAGCTTGCTCTCTTTGGACACAGGTTGGGTCTGAAAAACATACAATTTAGTTTAAAATATAAGCCATACCCTCTGGTGTTCACAATTTGATCACAAATTCTAAAATGGGCACTATACCATACAACTGTATACAATTTTAGCTTATTTACAAAGCAACCACCCAACTTAAAATGTAATAACTTCAACATTAGTCTCACTTTCCCCTACATAGTTGCTCTATTGCAGTGTTGGATAATGGGAGTCAAATGCACCATAATCTCATATTCACACACGCCAGACCTCTGGCAGTTCAGTTCTGTTGCAAAGATGTTTTTGTTGTACTTTCTTCTTCTTGTCGGGATCTCCGATCCCCCCGAGTTGGTTGATGAGAAGGATCGCAACACGTTGATCAATTAGTCAAAAAGTTAACATTTATTTAGAAGAGAAAAAGATTACATGAGCAATTCTCCGCAGATATCTGGCTCTAACTATTGCTTGCAAGCAGGAGGTCAAACACACAAGCACGTATCTCAGCGTTCGGTGTAATGGCGTCCCCGAGCAGTAAAAACGCTGAGTTTTTATACACATGAAGACCATCCTCAGTGCCAGTTACGAGAAGCTACAAATCAGGTTGAGATAAGAACCCAGGTGAAGCGGAGGGTAGCACACACTGCTCCTTTGTTCGAGCGTCTATGAGAGCAAGTTAACTCCCTTCTTTAGACACAGCTGCAAACCTTAAATCTGTCTTTGCCCATCACGGTCAAATACAGACACTTGAGGCCCGGCTTTAGCACAAAACACTGTTATAATATATTTTACCATTACATGCATCTCACACTGTATAGATGCACAGCCCTTTTATCACTGCCGCTGACTATGTCAAGTATTTCCTTCCCCAGGTGCACAGGTGGCTTTATACAAAACGATCTTATGAACCGGGAAACCAATATCAATTGTCTACTATTATCACGCTTTCCTGTTCTGTTCTGTTCTTTCGTCCACGTGAACCAATGAAACATGCAGAAATGCAAGTACTCTCTTACAACAAATTACCACCTGAATGAGTTATTTTCCGGCCGCCGGGCCAGAGCAGCAACGCCTGCTGTGTTATTGCTGCTTTAAAAACTTGCAACATCTTGCCTTGCACGCCACGCTAATTCTTTTCCAGGTTTTTTTTTATAAACTGGAGAAAAAACAAACAGCTGACGGTCAGTTTGTATGTGATGCATTTCCTAGCTTCTGAATGACTGGTGTTGCTAATTGCACTTTGTTTTTATTGGACATGTGTAAACAACGTCATTAATAGTGAGAACCCGTGGAGTTATTGGGCCTAATGGATGAGTCACTCAGCTGGATGAGCACAAATCACATTAAACAGAGGAGGTTTCTCACAACACTGCATACTAAGGCCAGTGCTTAACCCAAATCTAGACCTTTGTAGACATTTAATCTACCTGGACTAGCAGGGTAAAACGGTGTACTATTACAAACCTCAAAACGTCTGTGTCCATTGTCCCCTGGGATGGACAAGAGAGAACAGCTTGTAAATTACACCTTTTGATTGTTTCACAACGCTATTGGTACCAAACTCACATGAGTTTTCTTTCCCCTTGTTGTCCCCGTTTCCCCGCCCATTCACTTTCATGCAGCCTGTGCTGGAATTGATGCCAGGTGCTTTACCTCGAATGCCCCGCTGTCCATGATGAGAATACTCCACATCAAGGAAGCCGCAGTTGCAGCCAAACCCAACTAATCACCAAGGGTCACCACATAAGGGACCAACGCTTCCAGCTGAGTCAACAAAACAAGGTGGTGATTGTGTATGTGCAAGTAAGTACATCTGTGTGTGTGTGTGTGTGTGTGTGTGTGTGTGTGTGTGTGTGTGTGTGTGTGTGTGTGTGTGTGTGTGTTCATTTACTGTTAGACCAGCCCATTTCCATTCATGGGAGAAATCCCAGATAAGACTAAAAAGAAAAAAGGCATTTGAATGGATTAAAATGGGCCAAACGACTAAAGAAATAGTTAGACTTCCTCCTCCGGATAACAGAAATATCTGCACTGGAGTTTAAGGCTGTCAATCTCAGATATTTTAATCTAAAACTAAAATGTCAAACTGTTGATGACAGCAGGGGAATCATCAGAATCACTCAAACTGATACAAAACATTTGCAAGTTTTAACCAGCAAATGCAAAAATTACTCAATTATATCTCCATGGCTTTCATTTGTATGGATCATAACTCAACAAAAGCCAGAACTTACTGGCTGATGCCGGTTTATATCAACTTCTCAGATTGTACTTAGTTAGTTTATCTCTTACTGAAAAGCAGTTTTTAAAAGAAATAATTTAAATGGCATGCGTTTGGTCTGAAAAATGCAGCTCATCAGTGGCAAATAGTAAAACCATCTATTATCCGTGCGATTTTATTTTTAGCGTCCTATGAATAAAAATAATATACTGCGGTTACCTGAATATGATGCAGAGGGCACTCGTAAGGATCATTGCGAAGAAGGCCGCTCCGCTCACGGCAGCCAGGAAAGAGTCCACCTTGCTGGCTGTGGCAGCAGAGGCACGGCGGTCCCCCCCAGGCTCGGTCAGGTTGTGGTAGTGGAAGAGAAGGGCGAAGCCGCGGCCCCAGTGAGTGGTGGTGATGAGCTCCATGATGACCTCCACCATCTCCCGGCTGGAGCCGAAAACCAGCTGGCTGTTGGGAGGCCGGTTGGACCCACAGAACCTGGAGGAGAAGGTGATGAGGTCCGAGATGTAGAGGACGTCGTGGGGGCAGGCGTCGAGCTCCGAGTGCTGGGTGCCTGGGCTCGCGGCTGGAGTGTCGGTGGAGTGCGGCGAGGCGACGGTGGCCTCTTGCACTGTGATCGGGTTAGAGCCGGGAATGAGGTCTCCCCTGAGGTGAGACGAGGAGACGGAGTTGACGGTCTTGTCTTCTGGAGACACAGCACCGGGTAGGAGAAGGGGAGAGGGGGGAGATGGCGAAGAAAGGCCACCGGAGGTCTCCGCTGATCTTTTGGCAGAATTTGAGACTTTGGCGACCTCCATCTTTGTGGACCGTTCTTGGACCACCACTTGGTTGACCCGGCCATTTTGGGAGGACTGCTTAGTCTTTGCAACAGCCCGTACGCGCTGCAGCATGGGCTCTTCTGCTACCTCTAAGCTGCCAGGAGTGAAAGTCCCCTCTTGGTCTGCCTCTTCCTTTGCAAAATTGGAGAAAGCGGAGTACTGGGCAGGGTCATGTTTTTCAAACACATCAAAGTCAAATATCTCCAGAACAAGCTGGTAATCGACAGGCACAAAGAACTGCCAAACACAGTGTGTCCCGGATGAGTAGTTGTAGGGGAAGCCGGGGGACAGAATGAGGCCTTGGACGTCCACCACATCCACCCTGGCACCACAGTCAAAGTATACCTGCAATGTGAATCATCAAGTGAGTGAATCTTCATTTTAAAGCCGCATTCATGGTATAAAAGAAGAGTTTGGCAGTATTATATTACATTCTGCCTAGATTCTAAAATGAGTAATGTTGTCGGATAATGGAGGCTAAGTGATTAAACTCTCTATGTCAAAGGAACCGATTGCTCACTAACACAAACCAGCTTGAAACTGAACTATTCAACTCCGCAGCACTGCCTTTATTTCAAAGCCAGTGTGTTGCCTGCTTGGGTAACCCTGGGGAGGGTATTTCTTCAAACATGTTGGCCGTAATTCATCCCAGGTGTGTGCGGGACCTGGAATCTAAGCAGAGGCAGATGTGTGGCCGGGCCAGGGAGCTGGGGATCTGACCTTAGTAGGGGGCCTGCATGTTTATGAGCTTTCCTTTTGGCCTCGGCTCTGGACTGTGGGAATGACCCGACGGGCAGACACCCCATGCCAGACAGGTAACGAACCAACGGCCCGCGGGCGCCACTTGTGCTCTGGACTGGGCTGAAGGTTTAAAGGATGTGGAAGGGGAGAAAGAGGGCAACGGGGACACACAGAAAACCTTAAGGCCAATGGAGCCAGACAGGCCCTCTGATTGCTCCATGGACAATTTATTCCCATCTGAATGAGTTTATCAAAAGGCATTCCTGAGTTAGTAGATTTTACATGCAATTTGAAATCATAACTGGAAGAGAAGACCTCTCGGTCCGCCCTTCAGACACCACGATTGGACCAAAAGCCTTGTCCTTAGTTTATGCAGCCGACAGCCTCATGGCCAGGCAGCAGCATATAGCACACATTGGAGGTAAGCGAGGGCACGGAGGTGACCGTTTAGTCACGTTTCCACTAAATTGAATCGGCCAAATTGATAAATTTTTTTTCCCCCACAATTCCGGGAATGGGAATTTGGATCTTCGGTTTTCCTCTGACATCGTTAAGCAATCACTTTGGCACATGGCATGCCTACACGCTTTCTATAAATGAATGAACTACAGGGACGAATTATGGATGACATTTGAACGGGCCGAATGCCATTCCTGCTGCGGCTGAAGGGAGTAAGCCGATTTGGGGTTCACGGTGTTTGCGCAAGGAGGGGGAACACTTCACAATATGGGGGCATAACAGGGGGGGAAGAGAAGGACAGCGTGTCCTCTTTTAGGGCAAGAATGTCCAGCGGTGAATGAATGTACGTTTGTTCACACTGTTGCGCTGCTGGTCCTCACCCTGTTTTTAGAAAAGTAAACAATCGCAGGTTGCAAATTAACGCTCATTTATGAATTAACGGCCTCACAGAGACTGCGTCGTCAGGCCGAGGCTGCCGGGAGGTCCCCGGCACCATGGGATGTGCATGCTAGACTACACATGAAAGGGCCCCAAAGGGCCACAGTGTCAGACGGAAATGGGACATGCGTATAATGGCAAACATCGGCGTTGTGTTACATCACAGGCCGCTCCACTGGCAGGTTGGTGATAATTCAGGGATGCTTTTTCTCTTTGAGAAACCGTTTAGGTGAGCCCCCACCCACAAACGGGGGAGTGCGGATCATATTTTAATGAAGTGACGCTAATAAGTACAAGGCAGGCTGAAAGTTTATATAAGGGACGGCTGGTCATTATGGCCCAGTTGTGCCACTGACGGGGGAGTAGATCAACTGAGCTCATAATTGTCTGAAATGACTTGTTCAGTGAAACATCAGACCAGCTGCTTTCATTACTTAGAGGCCCCTGACAAATCGTATTGTTCTACCGTTTTCACTCTACGGCAGTATATCTTTAAAAAAAAAAAAAATTATTCTCAATCACGCCTGTCTAATTACGACAAAGGAGAATAAAGTATAAAAATATATTTTTTTAATATGATTTTTATTTATAAAAATTATATTTAAAACAATTCCAACCAGAATATGTATTAATAGGGGACAGGGTTTTTATATTTTGGACGAGGCAGGAGGTCAGAAAAAAAGATGAGAAATAAAACAAAAATAGTAATAGCAATAGTTCTTTGCCAGATAAAATGTAAACAAAAAAAAAGATTAACCACTGTAAAGGTGAACAGGCCCAAAAACAACAACAGCGCTTGTTAGTACACCTTCGTTTGACAAAACAGAAGTCTGACCTAAACTGTTGGCTGTAACACGGCTTTCTTAAACCACCCAGGCTGTGAAAACTCTGCAACACGAGCTGCTGAAGTACTGTTAGTACACACACACACACACACACACACACACACACACACACACACACACACACACACACACACACACACACACACACTTTGCCTCTCACGCACAAACAGCCTCGGACTGGCTCATAAACAGGCAGGCGGGCCCCTGAAAAGGGGGCAGGAATCCTCACCAGCCCTGTTTACTGGAGAAGCAAGCGACACTGCTTCACAGGGTTGGTGCTTGAGCAGCAGCAGCAGTTCAGGGCGCTTTCCGATCACAGCCAATTCCTCAGGTCTGGACCGATACCAACATCCCAGCTTTGTGCACCGATAGTTTGTAGTCTGCACCGAATCGAGGGCCATTATCCTTAATTTAGTTAAGTAGACAGACAGGGTTGGAGATCTGACTGATACGTACCTGAGGTGACACAATATCAAGACGAATAGTCAAAGTTGTGTACTCATTCATATTCATATTAGAAGGGACATAAAATAGAAAACTTTCCGGACAACAATAGAGAACATGGCGACACGCGCCGTTACTGCTTAAAAGGGCAAAACGTGAGAAATCGTATCTTTAAAATTTTTTTAAAAAAAAGAAGAAGATGTTTCTCATTTACCGACAACACGCTGCAACATACAGCTAATCAGAAGTTTGGATAAGTTCTTAAAAAAGAGCATTAAACAACGGAGTCAGCAGCTGCAATCCAATTTCAGCAAGATTTTTTCAAATGTTGTCCAGCTGCCTCCAAAAGAAAAGAAAAAAAGAAAGCTGCTTGAGGTCATTTTCCACAGCTGTAAAAAGCGCTAATACTGGAGGCCGGGATGTATCACATAACTCCCCTGTGATGTCAGTGCATCTCCCGATGGGCTCATGTCAGCGGCTGCAGGTCAGGCCCGAGTAAGTTTACAAACAACGGGCGGATTAGGCCCAGGCAGTTCTAGGGTGGCCCTTTTTTTTATGCCGCCGTAGAGCTGGCTCAGCACATTTACACCACCGCCTCGCGCATCCTCGGTGACTTATGAAACGCCTCTTTGAGCGATTGCGTGTTTGGTCAACATTTTATTTGCAGAGCCGTCACAGACACGGAGAAGTGGAAAGCCATAAAAAATAAAAAAACCTGTTTGCGCTGTGGTCCTCGAACTCGCACAGATGTGCGACTGGGTGGGCAACAGCACAGGGGAATGCACGCTCTCTCCTCCATGTTGGGGGTGTACAAACATAATAACATATTTCCTGCAGAATAAAGTGCTGCTGAGGCTGCGGTGGCTGTTAAAAGGAGTCCGTGGAACCCCGTCGCGAATCATGACCCCCATCTTTACGGTGGTTTTTAAAGAGCTTTGGAGAAACCATTTCCAGATTTAGGAATGCGATCCAGCGAACGGCTCCCTGATCATCACTCGTTGGGCAGCACCTCAGTGGGAAGCCCAGTGGTGTGGCGAACTCTGTGACACAGTTAAACTGCAATCAATCAGAGTCCACATGGAGACAACAACCGTTCAAAGTGAAACCACGCCACGCGAAATGATCAGTTAAGCTCATTTTTTTCCCCCCATTCGACCTTTGCTGTTTGGATCCATTTGCAAAACATTCCAGTAAACAAGCTCAGCATCCCGTTTCTCCTCCTGAAGTTATTTCAACAATCACTTAAGACTTCCAAATCCACCTGGATGAAAAGGAAAATGACTCTGCATTGCAAAAACAATTTTGTACCTTTTCATAAAGTCGCGACTCAATTGGCTATGGAGGAAGCCGGATATTACATGTATTACTTTGGTGTTTTGTTTTACAAGAGAAATGGGGATTTGGTGTTTTGTTGCGAAAATCATAGTGATAGAAAGAAAAATCAATAGAAAAACATAGGTGTTTTTTTATTTTTATTTTGGTAAATGACTATAATCTTTGTTTGGTTTACAAAACTAAAACTTCATGGTGGCACCATAAAAAAATACCAGCATAAATACCCAAGCTTGGGCATGTATGTTTATATTTATAGCTTTATACCATAGAAAGTATTGAGAATTAAGTTACAACCTTACGGTACCTCCTGCATCTGCCCGGGTAGGATGGCTTTCCATCCAATCTCTCCGATCTCTAAAATCCAACCGGCGTGCACTGATCCACAGTGACATGTTTAGCTGTTGACAAAATGTGTGCATCAGATTGTCGGATAATTCATGGGAGGAGTAAGCAAATTCGCCGGGGGCCCACAAATCACCACAATTACAGATGAATGTCCCCTCTTTCCTTCGTGAATAAAACCTCCCGGAAAACAAAGCGCAGCAACAAAACAAAAGAACAAATTCACCCTCCCTGAACCACAGCGCTGAATTGTCGACCGACACACTAGGATGCCTCCCGTTTGTTTCCTGAGGGGGATAGAATAAATTCCAAGCTTGTTTATGCGGTTCCAAAAATCAACTTAATACAAAAGGGGAGCAGAGGACAAAGACATCATTTACCGTGCCCCCTCAGGCAGATAATTGCAAAGATAGTGAGCACCCTATGCACACAGGAACTAAAGCTGGAGACGCTGACAATTCAATATACCAAGGGCTTTTGTTGTCTAGTTCCAAGAGTTGCACCGCTGAGCCGCCATTCTCCATCCGCGGAAGGGGATGACTCTTGACAGGGGGAAGCTTCTCCTAGCTGACAATGTTCTATAGGGGATCCGCCCGTGTCAAGGGCAATCCTTCTGTGCAACGGCATCAGGCGCCGTCGCTAACGGGGGACGTGCGTAAATCAAAATCTGAAGGACATGGAATGAGAAAAGTGGCTGGTCGATGAGGTGTAAAGGATGGCCGCTTCAGTTCAATGACCACAATAAAATCTGGCAGGAAATCAGCCACGATATAAACAAAATTCCTGACATTTTAAGGGAGTTCTGTTGCTTATTTCCATGACCACAGGGAGCACAAAGGGATATTTTAGTGTGAGAATTATCCGCCCACTATTACAATACAGCTGTTACGGCATCAAAGCTATTTTAGAGATCAAACCAGTCAAGCACAGAATACACAAATACGCCTCAATAACCTGGCAGAAGTTTTAACTATTTAACTTTAACTCACCAGAAGTTAATACGTCAAACATGAATCACAGTGTGATTGAAGGAGAATGTTCGGAGTCTCGCCTGTTTGATCAGGGACAAACTCCTTGCATATCAGGGACACAGCGTGAGAATTTGCCTCAATGAGTATGAAAAGTAAAACACAGAGTTTCCAGCTCTCAATGTGATTCTCGTTTGAGCAGTTTGGAGTCTGCATGCCATTCTCTAAGTGTGAGGAGCAGTAACATCAGCAACACGCCTGAGTCATCAAAACATCCCTTTGAAAGCCCTTGAGAATATAAAGTTGGGATATTTTAAAATATATCCCAATAAGGCAATATATGCGGCAAAGGCACACAAGAGTAAGTTAGTAAATTCAATACACGTTCGAGTTTTTGATTGACAAATATTACTTTAATTGAAATAGAGCAAGACTGAAGGTGAACCTCGCCGTGCGCGTTAAACTGCATGAGGCGGAATGTCGGCGAGAGACGCCGTTTCAAATCACTAACTAACAACAGAAATTGATTTACATGTTATGAGGGGGGGGGGGTTCTGACACAAGTTTCGCAAGTTCCACTCGGAGAGGAAAATGTTGGTCTGCGTCCTTCTCTGCTGTCAGACGGAACGCACGCAGAACCCCATGGCAAAAATTGTCAATCTAAAAGTCTGTCGCCACACTACTATACACCGTAAGACTTGATACAGACGACGTACATTTTAGCAAACAAAATGCATCTTCAGCAGCCTATTAAAGTTTAAAGTGTTAAAGGTTGGCTAGATATTGTTACCTACCCCTTCTCGCACGCGCGTACAGCCGTGATTCGTACGTTAAGTTATTTAGCTAGTAAGCAGAACTGTTGACACTACGGAGGAACTAGGTTTTTAATTTAAAATATAGTTGACCAAAGTGTTTCTTTGTGTATCAGATACGCGCCGAAATGATTGGTAGCATCTAACTTTCCTTAAGACAACTTGCTCGAAATCCTCCGGGGTCAGAATGTTTTGCCGTGGAGCAAACATTGTTGAATATCGCGATTTACAAACGCAGTTCGTGGCTTGATTCTCCATACATGTGCGCGCGGTCCTCAGCAGGAATGTAGGTAAAAAGCCTGTGAATAAGTGTCAGCGTATTGTCAACTTACTTTCTGTGCAACGCATCCCATCACGAAGAGCAGGTATGTTGTCATGAAAGCATGGGCCCCGAGCGACGTAACACAACTCATTTTCCTCTAATTGTTCCTCTTTTCAGTGCGACGCACAGTGAACCGTGTCCCGCTCCTCCGCTTCCCTCTCATTCACCTGAAGTATCGGGAGCGCGCTTCCATCGCTCATGGGCGAACGCGAACACGGGTCCGGATCCTTTGCTAAAAGCTGCGCTGTTGTTTACCTTCACCTTTATGTGTGTGGCATCTATCATGAACATGCTCCACGCGTAAATAACGTACTGTGTTTTAGCCAATGACTAGAGCTCTAGGCAGTGCAATAAATGACGACCACACAATACATCATTGGGTCTAGCTATTGTGTGTCTGTAGCCTCCGGTCCTTCTCCCGATGTAGGCAAACAAAGGAAAGTCAAATGTTTTATTGTTGTGCTTGCATCGTGGATTTGGTAATGTGCGATTGAATTATTTGTGGTATACTATATTATTCTCCATAATAGTAACTGCAATTCAATAAATTAATGTGTGTATGAATTTACAATTCATTTGTAAATATTGTACATCTAAATCGATAAACAAATTAAATATAGTCCCTGTTACACAATTATTCATAAAGGCTCATTTCTATATATACATACAAAAAAGGAGGGCCATTGGAAAAAAACAAACTGGAAACGTTCACTCCTATAAATGTTTAGGTCTTCTATATTATGCTCATGTTTTGGGTGGAAGAAAAAACAACAATTGATGTCTGAATGTATGAGGTTGTATGTTTTTTATACCATTGATCAGTCTTTTGTCTACGAAAATGTAATTCACGACACAGTCGCTAGATGGCACCAAAGTAAAGAAGTTGAAATCTTGCGCCTTTTCATTTTAAAATTATTTTGCTTATTTTTTTCTTGGTTTTATAGATCTACTTTTACTTGCATTAAACTTGAATAGGTGGGTCGAAATAGTTTATTAATGACATTTGACTCAAAACTATGATAAAATAAGAATATAGAATACACCTAATTGTTGTTTGTTGTCTGCACGTGTTTATTTTTTGGCAGCATGCGGGTCCCTGTATAAGAGGGAGTTAGTGTATATTGAATTCAGTTCAGACTACTTGCTTGCTTATCACAGAGATGAATATAAACAATAATTTATGCATGGACAAAAAACAGTGAAGAGCATTGTGGTTTCCCCCAAACAGTCCATTATGTGTAGGCCCATGTGCACAATGTCTATCAAAATAACCCTGCAAAACGTAAAAAATTATGTAAAATTATTTTACAGGTTGTAGTGCATCACTTGACCCATTCTTGTCCACAGCTGTTGTGGAGTAATGCTGACAAAGTACCTTTACATTCAATAAATTGCGCCCATGATCGACAGGGACAGGATTGTGTTGGGACATATTCATATGCCATTTGAACTAAAATAATTATAAAATACAGTATAATATCATATTATTGCGGGAGTGATAATATACAGCCTAATGATTTGTTTATTAATCCATTCTTTACATTCCGTTCAACGAATTGTTACTTGCATAGCTTAAACCGGCACTGACAGCCGGTGGCAAAGAGGTGGCACCATAGACAGCAGGACCACTGCTGACAAGTGGGGCGCAGCTCTGTGAACAGCCAAGCACCGCATGCGCACATCCCCGTTCCATTATCATTGGTATGTATCATTACATTTCCATATACATTTTGAATTTAATTATCTCAATGATGAGTATTCCTTTTTTGCATTGTATTAAAACCCAAACATTGTGAGCAGGAGCTATTTCTTCTTCCAGATGTGTTGTGTCCTTCTTGTTTCCCGTCGGACGGATGAGGGACGGACACCAAACAGCCACGTAGTAAACGGCGAAGCTCTCAAACGGGTGAGCATTTATTATGTTTTGATGCACTTAGCGAAAATGTCATTTTCTAATTTACTCTTGGGATTTTATAACACACTTACGCGGCAGAAAATAATATGTTTACTGATTTAAAAACTACTGGAGCAATCCATCCTCTCCACTGGCGATACTAGCGAACGTTAGCAAATGTAGCACGGCAGGTTCCTTCGTAAACACACGAAGCTGGCTAGCTGCTGTCAAGCTAGCTAACGCTAGTCCAGCCTCAAGTTTTTTCATCCTTGTCATCAGCCGGTACCGTTTTGCTAAACCCAGTCAGCACAAGGGCATAGTATCACCCGTCTCACGTGACGTACCCTACGCGTATCAACCGCTGTGTCATTATGTTTGCTTCTGCCTTGTGACTGACCGCGTGAACCTGTGCTGAAGTAAGTCCGCCGCCGTATGCTAACAGCTAGCTAACTTAGCAACACCGCCTCGGAGTCGAAGGTTATCGTCGGTAGCCGAAGCGGACGATGCTTGTGAGACTTCAAACGTGCAGACGTGTTGGATATTACGGCTGTCAGCGCACTTTCAGTCGCCAGCTGCGTACATCGTCAACGGAGTCTACGGTATCTGTGACTGGATCGAAGTAAAGGATTTCCATAATACGAGTGCTACGCAATCCACTTAACCAAGCCGGCTTGTGAGCTCATGTCTCCAGCTTGTGTTTGAATTGTGTTGTTACCTAACATCCTCAGTGTCTAAAAACAGATGGAGCTACAACCTCTTCTGTATATTGTGCCATATTTGTTTCTTTACTTATTTCTTTAGTGCCGTCTGTGTTCAGAAGTGTTCCTGGACACTGACGTGCTCCTCCTGCATCCGAGGAACAAGATGGTTCTGTGAGCGTCTCTTATGCTGAGAGGAAACCACCAACACAGTGACCGTTCAGTTTCTTAAGGGAAATGGATAGTAACCAATCAGGAACCGCTCAGATGGAGACTAACGCTCATCAAGAAGACCATCCAATGAAAGTGGAAGGTGAAACGCAATTATTGCAACAAGGGCTGGACAACACACAACATGCTAAAGGATGTATTCACAACGGTGAGTACTGATAATACTCCCTCCCCCCTAATCTAAATTGCAACGATTTTAAAGGCTAGAATTCATTTTGTGTTGGGGGTCTGTTTACAATATATTTCTTCCAAAATGACTTGTCTTTCTACTGGGATTAGCTGCTTTCCAGCTCCTTGATCCGTGAAGATCTTGATGCTTCCTGTAGTGGAAACACTTTCTGCAGTGCATGACCTGTTTTTGTGGTTACTACACGGCCCGAGGCCTTTTACTGCTGCGTGTTACGTGGCTCTACTAGTCGCATTTGGGAATTTCTTTTTTTCAGTAATTGTTTCATAGTAGTATGAATTCTTTCAAAGACACCATGACTATTTAGCTGTGCACTATATAGGTGTGGTTTGATCAGATTAGTGTCACTGGCCTGGATACATATGCAAACAATCCCACAACTAAGCCTAAGCAAAGCCCTTTCCATTTCAAACCAGTGACAAGAGCACAGACAAAACCGCACAGACAGAAGGTGGCATTTAAAATAACTAAAACTGCCTTTCCATTTGTTTGTCTTGTAAGATCAGTGTGAACAGCGCCACATGCCACATTCATTTCTCAGCCACCTCTTTGACTAAAGCTATTGTAGTTTAACAGAGTTGCTCAGCCTGCTTGCCAGGTGGAATAACTTCCCCCTTGCACTATGGCGGACTAGCACTTACCCTGACTAGTTGTCAAATACCACCTCTCACTTCTCTTTCAGGTCTTTTCAGTTCTGCTGTAATGCCGAATGGAAACGCACTGGCAGAAGACTTGACTCCTGCTCGGAACACTCATGTAAATGGGTCTATGCCTCTGGCAGCCCCTCCCCAGGCCACCAGCTCCCCAGTTAACGCCCAGACCCAAGATCCCTCCCAAGGTTTGGCTGCTTTTCCACCCATGATGATAGAGAAGTCTGAGGGGGCTAGTGCTGAGATCACGGTTCACAAGGGTGACTCATTGCAGTCGCTCAGACTCAGTATGCCTTTGCAGGAGACTGAATTGTGTAAGCATAAACTTATGTGGAGTGAATGCCCCCTCTAAACCCCCCCTCCCCCACCCCCTGTATTTTAACCTCATCTTGCTGTGGGATGTTTTGCTTTTCTTGGTTTATTTTCACATCCGTTTTAACTTCCTTTTCTGTGTATTACCTGAATCGAATGATCCAATGAGACTTTCTGTTCGCACTTTTGATTCCACTCCCTTTCTGCATAAAGCAAAGATTGCATTTGATTGTTTGATTAGAATTTGGTGTGGGTGCTTTCTTTGGAACCCTATTTTGACTAATGGCTGCGTTTTGGAACTAATCCATCTTGTATGTCATCTTTTGGGGGGATTGTCGCTATGAAATGTAATCATTTAAGTATTGGCACAAACTTGTGATTTAGATTTGATTCGCATTCATTGCAATATTTTTGTAAATCTTTGCGACAGCTGATGCAGTCATGATTGAATTAAAAGGTTTTTTTTCAAATCGGCATACAGTAACCACGCAAATGGAGACCGTGATAAAGCACTGTTTAAATATATGGTTGTAACATGTATTCACGTTCTTAACAGAACGTTGCTCTGCAGTCTGCAACTTACTAGATGTGCTGGTTTGTGGCTCCCAAGGGTTAACAAAGGGAACTACAATTTGAATAATTTGTTTACCATTGCTGTGTGAGCAGTGAGGACCGGATTCCTGACCTTAAACAAACAACATTACACAGGTTTTTACTTGGAATCAACGTGACCAACAATCACCTCATTAGGAAACCTTTACAGTCAGAACACCAGGTCTCGTGTAAATAAAGCGCTGTAGTGGGGTTGTGCAGTACGCAATGAAACTGATTCTTTTGGGACAAACACACTTTGTTTTCAGCTCACCAGAAGCCATCATTAGAGATGGAGAATGAGGAGAAGATTCGCCTGGAGGCTCGTCGGCGTCTGGAAGAGCAACTCAAACAGTACAGAGTGCAGAGACATAAGGAGAGGGTGAGTTAATGGCGTCCACCTCGTGGACCACACCAGCTGTCCTCCTATTTCCCCTCGAGGTCCTAGTGCTTCCAAAAACACTTGACAGCTCGAGCATCGTGTTAACGTGAACATTTTATATTAACATGGTTGTTACATGTTTTTATTTCTAGTCTCACCGCACCACCACCAAGAGCACGGCATTCAGCACCCTGGATCCAGAGCTCATGCTGCATCCTGAGGATCTGCCCAGGGCCAACACTACTTCCATGACCAAGGAGTATTCCTTCCTGAGGACCAGTGTCCCCCGTGGCCCCAAACTGGGTAGCTTGGGAATTCCCCCCTCCAAGGAAAGAAAGTCCAGATCACCCCGCCCAAGCAGGATCCACTCCTTGGCTGACTACCAGTCTCCCGAGACTGATGGTGCAGGTGGAGGCGGAGGTGGAGTCCGAGCAGCAGACAACACTATGAGCTCCCTCCAGTCGTCCGCCATTAGCTCAGTGTCCACTTTGTCTGAGATGGACGGACAGCCCGCCGCTTCACTCCAGTTTGGGGACAATGTGTCAGAAATAGACGGGAGCGAATCGGGAACGATGCCAGGGAACGACGGCAACGACAGCGACAGCTCGTTAATCAGCAGCGTGTCTACCAGGGCGACGTACGGGATGCTCACCGCAGCCGTGGAAGTGCAGCGGGGGCCCTACACGGTGGAAGGGAGGGAGATTGCCGCTGAGGCCATGGGTCAGTTCCCCTCCCTGCAGGAGGTGCTGCAGGCAGCCAGTGACGAGCAGCACCTGCTGGAGCTGGAGCAGGAGAGAGGAGGCGCTGGGGAGCCTCAAAGCCGCAGAGACAGTTTCTCTAGCAGGTATATGTCAACGTCAGATAGGGAAGAAATACAATTTCTTGGCATTGATGTTTAATTGACGGGCACATTTGAGCAAATTCCACACAGTTCTGACATTGAATGCTGGAACATAAACCTTTTGGCATTTAGAACTATGAATTGATCAGGTGTTTTTTAATTATTCTACTGTTTGTCTCGTCATTTATGCACCCATATTGTTCACATTTCTTGCAGTGTTTCTTTGGAGAGTTCAGTGATGGGCCATGATGATATGCTGCAGGTTTTGAAAGAGAAAATGAGACTGGAGGGTCAGCTCGAATCTTTGTCATCTGAGGCCAATCAGGTATAATAATATATATATATATATATATATATATATATATATATATATATATATTTGTACTCTTGTTTCAATTCCTTTACCCATCATGTACAGCAGTCGACAAAATGACATGGAAACTATGAAAGTGTGTTATCTGTTATTTAATTCAAATGCTAGATAATGGGGCTGAAGAGCTAACCTCACTGTGCTTTTCTCCAGGCTCTCAAAGAGAAGACGGAGCTTCAGGCGCAGCTCGCCACAGTGAACGCTCAACTGCATGCAAAGAAGGAGGAGGCGGAGGTCAGCCAGGAGAAGCAGAGGGTCCTCACCACGGAGGTCGGCTCACTGCGGAAAAACTGCAACCAGCTAGAGAGGGCCATGGTGGAGCTCCAGGGCAGTCTGGAGGGCAAGAATGCCAATCTGACTTCTCTAAGCAACGACCTGAAGGTGGCCGAAGATCAGTACCAAAGGCTGATGGGGAAGGTGGAGGAGATGCAAAACACAGTAACCTCCAGAGACAATACAGGTGTGTGACTCAGACCCAGAAAACGGAGCCTAGCAATAAATGGACAACGTATCTTATTGATCTCGACTTAACAACCCCCCACTCCCATTCTGCTTTGCATATCCAAACTCCTAAATTGACATACAATTTGGTGTCTTGACTTTTGCAGTGCAGGAGTTGCGACAGCAGTTGGGTGGTCTTCAGAGCCAGCTTCAACAGGTCCAGCTGGAGCGAAGCACCCTTCAGAGCCGAATGAAGACTTCCCAGGCGGAAATAGTTTCACTTCAGCAGCTCAGGCAGTGGTACCAGCAGCAGCTAGCTCTGGCCCAGGAGGCCCGAGTGCGACTGCAGAGCGAAATGGCCAACATGCAGGTAAGTTTGATGCTAATACAGTTGGCTTTTCATCACGGTTTGACATTCGACTGACGTGAATCGACATGACACTTTTCACCGTTTTTTTTCCCTCTCTCTCCCAGGCTGGACAGATGACTCAGATTGGTGTTCTGGAACATTTGAAGCTGGAAAATGTGTCTCTGTCCCACACACTCACAGAGACCCAACACCGCTCTATCAAAGATAAAGAGCGCATAGCTGTCCAGCTGCAGAGCATTGAGGTATTCTCTTTGTGAATCCGCTATCAGCGGGTTTGTCTGGTCTATATTTCCACTGAGGAAATAACCCATACCGTAAGCTCATTAAGGGCCGTAGATAAAATCAGGCTTTTCTAAATGACCCCAACAAATGTTATTTTATCTTTCTTTTTTTAATCAGCTATGGATGTTGTTTAAAACATTTTACTGTCTGTGACTTAGGCTGACATGCTGACCCAGGAATCGGCTTACAAGCAGATCCAGGATGCTAAAAACATGGTGGAAGATGATCTGCAGCACAAACTGGAGGAGTTTGAGGATGAGCGGGAACGCTTAATTAAATTGGCTAACACAGCCAGCACCATGGAAAGGGAACTGGAGCAGGTAGTCAAGTGTTTTGTTTTCCAACTCTTGTGTTCTGTAAAACGTGTTTTGTAATGTTCTCTAAACTGCCTTTTGAACTCAATCTTTCTTAGGCAAAGTTGATCCTTTCCCAGAAGGACGTGCAGCTGCAGTCCCTCCAGAAGGAGCATCTGGAGCTGATGCGCCAGCTGACCGTCACTCAGGACAACCTGCAAACCAAAGAGCTGTTCATCAACCACCTAGAAGCCCGATACCAAGAGCTGGAGGCCCAGCTGGCTGAGCTGCAGACAGACGGCAGCGCCAAGGACGACAGCATCCAGTTCCTCCAGAACGAGAAGATTGTCCTGGAGGTAGCGCTGCAGGCAGCCCGGGCCGAAAAGAACCAACTGGACGAGGGCGCCGAGCAGCTCGGAGAGGACGTTCTGGCGGCTTCAGATATCTTGGATCAGCTCAGACAGGAAGTCCAGATCAAAGCCAATCAGGTATGAATACAGGCAGGAAGGGAAAATATGAAAAATGTCATTTAAAATAATTCCATTGAAATACAAATGCAAGCATGACTGAACCATTACCAGTGACTTAAAATCAAATATGGGTATTCCCTTGTGTGTGCCTTTTGGCATCAATATATTCCCATCTACTTGTGTTGTGACACCTTGAATACGTTATGGTCAAATAGTCTCTTTGCATGGTGAGCAGCAGTTATTTTGGCATTTCTCCAAACAATAAAAGGCCTTTTTCTTTGTTACAGATTGAAACACTTCAACGGGAAAATGGTTCCCTAAAGAAACAAGCTCAGAAACTGAGGGAACAGTTCCAACAACAAAAGGTAATGCCTCCTCCTCCTCGCTCTCACAGTATGAGATCCAATGTAAAGCTCTGGGTGAAGTTTTTAGAAGCCAGTGGAAAATGTGGACTTGACATACATTTATTATTTTCATTACATTTATTCATGAAAGAAAGAAGCGGACTATGGTTGACGTTGTCGTGGGAGACTGCTGTCATCTTGGCAGAGTACTGCTTGACACGCGTCAGCCGAGGGGTGGATGTTGCTTATTTTGCATTCACAGGCTGTCAAAAAAGGGTGGAGTTCATTGACAGAATGACAGAAAAAGGAATTCTATTAGATTTCCATCAAGCCTCGAGCTTTTGTGGCCCTTTTCAGACTCAAAGAATTAACACGCATCTTGGTCCACCAAAATGTATTCGGGTCGGCTAAAAATTCCATGGAAACCACAAAAGTGTAACCCTAGTGCTAAAATAGAGAAATCCGGCTCTTAAGTGCATCTGAAGTAACTATGTTATTGAAAATCTGCGATATGTGAGCTACTCAGATGTCTGATTAACTACCGGTTTATGGTGTACATGATCACATCCTGAAATAGTCAATAAAATGTCTTACCGTCTTTAGTTTTTGTGCTTTCGTGAGAGGAACCAGCACAAAGCTAATTAGGCTAAAGAAGTAAAGCCTGAAAGAATAAGTGATAACCTTTTTGTTTGCTGTAACCATGGGGAAAGCATCTCTCGAGCTTAGAAGTGAGGCAGTGAGGAATTCAAATACTGCAGCCCTCTCTCTCGCACTACTGCATCTACTGGATGTTGAAGTATTTTGCCTCACAGTCAAGACATATCCGAGGAGCACTACTGGAAAGCAGAGAATGCTCAGTCCGTTATTCAGACCCATGGATATCAACTCAACAGGTGATGGTGGAGGCCTACCGTCGGGATGCCAGCTCCAAAGACCAGTTGATCAGTGAGCTCAAGTCCACCAAAAAGCGCCTGTTGACGGAGGTGAAGGACCTGAAGCAGGAGCTGATGAGCGTTCAAGGGGAGAAGCAGAATGCAGAGCTGGAGCAGGCCCGGCTTGCAAAGGAGGTGACGAGGGTCCAGGAGCAGATGAACAACATGGAGGTCCATCTGCAAGCCATTCAGACAGAAAGGGATCAGCTGGAAACCCAGATCCAGGTCACTATGAATATCTGTATTACTTGTTCAATTTTACTGATCAAATTTACTTTAAGAACTTTGACAATAAAATGCTAATTTTTTGGGGGTGAAGTAGAAGCATTAGAAGAATTAGTTAATAAACCGCCTGTCAGCGGATATAGTGTGAATCCCATTGTAATGTGAAGCATGCTCTCTTTCTCCCAATCTAGTCTTTACAGTTCGATCAGAGCCAACTAGCTGCAGTCACAGAAGAGAACGAAGGTCTGAGGAAACAGGTGGAGCAATTGGAGGGAGAAGCCAAAAAGTGAGTCATCCGCTGCATATAGATATGGAACGCTTGAATGACTCCCACAGTAATTATTTGGACCATGCTGCATATCTCTTATCATGTGATATTTATAAATATTGGCTTTTTTATAGAATGCTTATTCAATTCCTGACTCTGTCATCCATATCTGTAAAGAAAATGTGATTTTTAAAGCACACCACTGGCATTATAATGCATGGACTGTCAGAACAACTTGATTTCCCCCATGGCCATTTTTAACGTTATTGCTCATCTGCATCTAATAGGGCCATCACGGAGCAGAAGGTGCGTGTGAAGCGGCTGGGGACAGATTTGACCAGTGCTCAGAAGGAGATGAAGGCCAAACACAAGGCCTACGAGAACGCCGTGGGCATCCTGAGTAGGAGGCTCCAAGAGGCTCTGACTGACAAGGAGTCCGCCGAGGCAGAGCTGGTCAAGCTCAAGGCCCAGGTGTCGGACGGGGGAAACAGCCAGGCCTTACAGGTACTGTATAAATCCGCCAGACCTTCGACAGCTACTTGAAAACTACTTTGGAATTTAGATTAGGTTGGGGTATCTGTGTGATTCTTCTTACCATTTCACAAACATTAGCAAGCTGGAGAAAGTTGGCATACAAGATCTGGATAACCTGTTTTTCTTGCTATGATTAAAATCAAGATATGTTGCCACTGTCGAGCGCAATGGAAGAATGAGAGATATTCTGCATTCCTATTTGGAGTTAAGGAGGTCTATTATACAGTTTGAAAGATTGAAGGAAATGAAAAAGAATAGCATTTATTCTATGCTTATCCTCAACTCACATGTTGTGAACCTAAAGATATTTGTAATTTCATTGGGATTAATCAGGGCTAACTACGTGTTGAAGTGCAATGTGGTTTTATTTTCCCTCCAGGAGAAGATCAAGGCTCTCCAGGCTGAGCTTCAGACTGTGGCCAAAAGCAAGACTATGCTTGAGAGAGAGCTGCAGGAAGTGATCACCCTCACCTCCACAGAGCTGGAGGAGTACCAGGAGAAGGTCATGGAGCTTGAGGATGAGGTGAACATCGTTCATTGCGTGTTTTCCTTGAATGATGTTGATTGCAACCCTGTATGAGCAGTATGCCTACACTGGTCTAATCACTCAATTCCTGTATTTTACTTTGTATAAATGAGGTGAATTAATTCCACAGCTTCAAGAGTCCCGATGCTTCAAGAAGCGGATTCGAAAGTTAGAAGATGCCAACAAGAAGCTGGCACTGGAGCTTGAACACGAAAAGGGGAAATTGGCTGGTTTGGCACAGTCCCATAATACACTGCGGGAGCATTCCAACATTTTGGAGTCTGCCTTAGCTAAAAGAGAGGCCGATCTTGTTCAGCTCAACTTACAGGTGAAAAATGACATCTTTATATGACATTTTTTTATTAATACAAATAAACTATGTACACTTTTTAAAATTGTCTGAATAAAACCCATTCATTACATTCATGGTTTTACAGGTTCAAGCTGTTCTGAAGCGTAAAGAGGAGGAGGACCAGCAAATGAGGCAGGTGGTTCAAACGCTCCAGCTTGCCCTGGAAAAAGAGAAAACCAAAGTCAATGACCTGAAAGAACAGGTGGGAGCTCTAGGGACACAGTGCACGTTGTTTTCATTCAAATGTCTGAATGTTTGTCTGAATATATACTTTGACAGTAATTTTCCTGGCACACGGTGCACAGTAAGAAGCTGTTTAAGAAATATACAAGTTGTGACATGTATTCATAGTAAGTCAAGTAGCTTTTCTGGAGCATTGTGCTCTTTTGGCTTTTTTCGTATTGTACTAATGTCACGTGACCTTTCAGGTGGCAACAGCAAAGGCTGAAGCAGCGCACAATAGACGGCACTACAGGGCAGCTATGCTGGAGCTGTCGGAAATCAAAAAGGACCTGCAGGCTAAAGTGGACCTGGTCATAGCTCTGCAGAGTGAATCCCACAAACTACAGTATGTGCATCTGCCTGATTTAAAGAATGCAGTGACTTTGGGCTAATTGCTTTAGTATCTAATGTATCATATCTTACTACTCATTTGTCGTTGAACATGTCTTACTCTGCAGAGCTCAGGATGAGCAGCATGCTCAGGAGGTTTCCAGGTTCCAAGAGGAGCTTGCTGAGGCCCATTCACAGCTCCAGATCCTCCAGAAACAACTGGACGAGGAACTGGCCAAGCAGCCCCTCACTAACCAGGAGGTAAGAGACTGGACTGAAATATTTAGCTGAACTTGATGCTTTTGTTTAGTTTTTGGCCATATACTTGAATGTTTTTTCTGGGAGAACACCATTTTGTGTCACTGAACAATGACCCACTGGTTCAGGTTGAGGACCTGAAGTGGGAGGTGGAGCAAAGGCAGAGGGAGATAGAGGCTCAGAAGCAGCAGCTGGAGATGATGGAGCAGTGTCAGCACAGGGAGCTAGACAACCTACAGAGAGCTCTGCAGGTAAGGGTTCACTTTCCACTTTCAACAAAGCTTCTTACTTCACTGAAAGTGTTTAAAAGAAATTCATTGTTTTGATATTTACAAATGCAAAGAATGACTTTTACTAAAGCTAACTCTCTATTTCTTAGAACATCAAAGTGGAGCTGGAATCTGTGCAGGATGAGCTTAGTGGCACCAGGAAGGACAAGTTTATGCTTCAGGCCAAAGTGGGTGAGCTGAGGAACAGCATGAAGACGGTCCTTTTGCAGAACCAGCAGCTAAAACAGGACCTCAAGCAGAGTCGTCTGAGGAAGGTAAAACCGTAGCTCGTACTCATAAACTAGTCGGGCTCTAGTGTTCAGTCACTCTTTGTCTTGGCATGAAGGCTCTCACGTACTATTACAGTGTTGCAAGTATAATTTCATGTGAGAAATACATTCCTGAAATTTAGTTTTTCATTATTTGAGCAGCAGCGCATGGATCTGATGAGCGAGGGGAACCCATCCAGCCCAGTGACACCAGTTAAGATTCCAGACTGCCCAGTGCCTGCCTCCCTGTTGGATGAGTTGCTGAAACCATCAACATCTGTCAACAAAGAGCCCCTCAACAACTTGCACAATTGTCTACGGCAACTCAAGTAAGCCTCTCGCACTAACCAAATGATTAGGTTAAAGGAGTTGCATTTAACATGGTGGACATTAATATTGCAGCAAAGAATTCATTGTTTTTTAAATATATCGGTTTCGTTTCTACCTAAGCGGACAAGGAAGTCCCTCTTGCTCTTACTGTCGAAGCTTCAGCTTCCTTTGTCAACATATACAGGCCAGCCTTGCGTGTTTTTAGTGCATGTGAGTGCGCCACACTGTCTAGCTCAGCCCTCATGAAGTGTTTTGTTAGGTAATGCTCAGCGGCTATTTGAATGCCAGAATACATGTAATGTGTTTGTATTCTCAGGGAGGAGATGGACAGCCTCCAAAAGCAGATGGAGGAACACACAGTAACAGTACATGAGTCAATGAGCTCATGGACAAGCGCAGAAGAGGCTCAACTGGAGCTTGAAAACAACATCTCTGAATCTTCAACGGCTCTAAACAATATGGTTGGGAAGAATAACAATGAAGCTGAGCAACAGTAGTCATAATAAAAGTGTCTCAGGCCATAAGAGAGAGAGTGGAGTTTTATCCACAAAGGCACTATTCAGCCCGTTATTCCCTTTCTCTTTTCTTAAGAATTGCTGCCAACATTTGGCATTGTCCCATCAGCGCAGATGGGCTTATTCAGAGTTATACTTAATATGCCATAGCTTTATTCTCTCTTCTTTCTTTGACGGTTGTTCATCTTTTTGTTATGTTATTGTCACATTTATTTATTTAGAGTCAAGTTATCTGACAGCCTCTCCAAGAGGATCCCCCATCTTGAGTTTAGTTATCATAGATACAGACATGGTCAAGTATGGGCTATTTTGATAATCTCAACAGCCGGTTTTCCCCCTTTTAAGTTTTTCTCTCTAAAATGTATTTAGTCATCATCCTCCTCGCAATATAAAACCAGTGGCTGCGTATGCTGCTTAATGATGGTTGACATTATTTCAAAAAGTGTTATTGTGACAGAAAACAAACATTAGTCTGTCACCAGACTGGCTATGAAACTGTTCTTCCATTTCTTTGTGCCTGTGTGCGAAAGAGCGGTTGCTCCACTATGATTTAACTGACATGGTTACACATCCACATCATTTCTAAGCGGTTGACACCTCATCAATCATTTTTGATAATGTTGAAAGTTGTGTGCAAATGTGGTCAGTTCTTTTTGTATTGCCTCTCGTTAAAATGGAGTCTTTCTTACATTTGATGTAACCATCTCACATTCAGTTCCTAAACTAAAAACAATAATCTCAGTTGTAAATGGAGGTGTTTTGTCTAGCATGGACTGCAGTTATTTGTACGCAAAAAAGCCTTAAGCAATCTTTAATATGCTGTAAGGGACTAAGTTGATTTAAATGAGCACATTCTGCTGAGGGTGTGCAATCTGTTATATTTATGTGTGTGTGCAAATCTTAACTGAATGGTTTTATTGTAAAATAAGTGAGTCATATAAACTGAGAAAGAAGAGTTGTACAATGAAGCAGAAATGTTACTAACAGCAGGTTTAAGCAGATATGTTCATTTTCTGTTGCATTTGGTACATATTTACAAAGAATATATGAAATTGTTATTGTTTTATGGCTGTTTCATGGATATGGGGATAGGTTAATTGTTTCTACAGGTTAATATATAAATTCCCTTTTTTGTAAGATTGTAGAGTCATTAATGTGTAATAGTGTAAAAGCTGACAGTACCTCTAACCCAGCTGCACGAGGACGTCAGTGCAGAGAGGCATTTGGATGGTTACAGAGTAGCTTTCTGCAATCAACCTTACTGCAGCTGCTGTGTCAGTGTTCATTCCCACACTAAACATATGTTTAATAACAGTTCTATGCTTAGGACTTTCCAAAGGGACATAGTACTTACTGAGGCAAGTAATAACAAATGTTCAGATTGTTCAGATTTGTTTGTGGGCACGGTATCTTCCTAACTGTTCACTGTAACGTTAGGTATCAATAACATTTGATCTTCGGCACTTGCGCTCATGTTGCTGTATCTGCTTTTTTTTTTTTCAAAGATTGGAATTGAGTCATTCCTATGTTTTACCATTTGTGTTGGGAGATGCGATTGTATTTATCATAAAATTGCACTATTCATCTGTCGTTATAGTTTGTTCTCATTCATTTTTTTGGCTGTCTACAACAATATTCTGTCATTTCACCACGTTGAAGTCGCTGTTTTGATCAGGCACTTTGTTGGACGGAACTGGGTCCTCGGTGTCTGCATTTTGAAACCATCGCGGTGAAGACACCTAGCAACGGTAGCCGGGAGAGAGGAGGAGGTGGGCATGGCACTGAAACGCGATCTATTTAAATAGCTTTGCAGTTGATAATTTCTTAATGTTGTGTGTTTGGTAAGAATGCAATCATGGTGTTTTTACTGTATGGCATCATGTATGCTATTGCTAACCAGTGGCTTGGGTGGTTAGCTTATTGCCTTGCTAAGGAGCTAATGACTGTTAGCATGTCAAACTCCGCTTCCTTGAACGGATGACATAAGTTAGCTAACGTACGTCAGGCTCATTTTCTTTGCGTCCCACTTTAACTGACGACTATATATTGGTGAAATAGGTTTATTTCAATACTTTTATAAATATCTATAGAATCGGCATGTTGCAGTTGGCTTGCCTCATACATCCCTGACCAAGTTTGCCCGCATGGGATTGTGCTCACGACTCTTTTCTATTGCATTTATACCGTCTCTACCTTTCCGACAATTTGTTTATTTCGTCTTTTTTCATTTGTTTTTGACCAGAATAAGCTGTCCCCGAGTTGGGTACATGATCGTTTCCTTGGATTAGTCACGTCTGCAAGTGCCGAGTATGATGCTACATTCAAGCCTTCGGGGAAAAATACGTGAATCTAAGACGTCCTGGAAATACACTTAATTGCAGCTTTCTGATGTCCCTATATTGTTGCCCAGCGGAAATCCATGTCCTTCACAAAGCTTTCAGGAGTTATACTATTGCATTATATTGTAGTTACGTTGGGAATTAACGTTTTGTGAGAATAGAAGTCGCTAGCGTGGCACGGCACTGCGTTCGTTGTGATAAATCAACTCAACCGTGTCAATGGGCGGTTGTAATCCATTTTGATGATCTAGGTTTGTTTTTGTTTTTTAGAGAGGAACACGACAATTATTCTTATGTCCGCTTCTTGACGCCATCAGGTGGCCCAGATTAAAGTCTTCCCACAGGTCTGGAATGCAGCGTGCGCCCTCCCTCGGAACTGCGCATGCGCACAACATGTTGTAAACAATGAGTCTATTCCAGACCGTCTCCAGCTTTGTGTCTATCCCACAGTATATCGGTGCAAATTTAACAACGGGTTCCCCCTGCTCCGTGTATATAAATAACAATGTTCATTGGTAAGTACAGGGATACATTTGTTACTTAATGTCATCCCGTACACTTTGATTTTTATCGACGTCTTCACCACTAAGACGTTTGAAATCGGTCGCGTTACACACCGAAACCCACCTCGAATGACACACTCGGGCGTGACAGCATGCGAATGAATCGACTATTGTCCCAGCGAGGTATCCAGCTTTCTATGTATTTGTGATCGTTAATATTTTACCGGGAAGTTGTGTACTTTACTCTCATCAGTCTGGATTTTCGTCTGAGTGGTTTTGCGTATGCTCCCCGGCGGGGGAAAGCTCCTTGTCTAGCATGCAAGCTAGCGGATGCTAGTCCCACTTCAGTGTGGTTGTTTCTGATAAGATACAAAGTGTTGGATTGATAATGTTGGCATCTGGAACTGCAGTAGCACTTGCCTTATTACAAAATCTAGAAGATCTAATATGTTAGTACAGCGTACCTGCAAATACTTGACTCCCTAGAACAGAAATTTACTTGTTAGTAAAATGTATTAGGTATTAAAGCTCACACGTGTGACATGTTGCATGGACGGCATTTCATATTAAAATGCAAGCTAATGGCTTTCTAAACAAGGAACACTTATGTACAAGCCAAAGGGTACACAAAATAATACCAGACCTTTTAAACGCCATTCAATATTTTTATTTGATTGTTATTGTTTTAGCTACTGCTGTTTGTCTCCCTGGAACAAATACAAATAATTATTCTACCAACTACCAAAAATGTTGGTAGTATAATAGCTTAGTGTGGTGAAGTATGGATTGAAACATTCAAATTATGATTCTTAATATTCGGTTGGGGAGATAGGGGTAAAAAAAGGAGAGACTGGTATCACATTTCTTATGTTCTTTGAGTATTTAGTTTGATGTCAAATGTGGGTGGTAATTGCTGAGGTGTATTGTGTTTTGCGTTGTAGGGAGTTGAAGCATGGAGGTGGTTCTGAGCAGGCTAAGGGGGCTGAGTGACGATGAACTGCGCACAGAGTTTGCCCGAGCAGACCTCAAGTGTGGTCCCATTACCACCACCACTCGAGCCACCTTTGAGAGGAAGCTAGCTCGAGTCCTGGCCGGGCCAGAGGGCAGCGTCGCTGAAACGGACAACAGCTCGTCAGCGGGGGCCTCCAACGCAGACTATGCCAAACCTGTGTCATATGCCACGTCAGCAGCGGCCCCCACCACCACCACTGCTGGTGCAACGTGCAGCAACCTCGCTGAGGGACCCGGCGAAGAGTTGGACTTTGGTTACGGTGTGGGTCTCAACCCTCCAGAGGAAGAGGAGATCTCCGTAAACACGTCCCCAAATAGCGCTGCAGAAGGCAAAACGGAAACCCCTTCCAAGTCCACGCAAGTGTCCCCAGCCTCTTATTTTGGAGTGTGTCCACTTTGGGAAGATGTTTTGGCTAGAAATGGTAAGACACGCTCCTCTTGTTACTCGTCCAACACATTTCGGTGTTGCAAATCGGGGGCTTGAATCACGGGTCAGGATCACTGGCAAAGTGGTCTTCAAGTTTGGAATCAAAGAGTTTAGATGAACACTAGAAAAAATAACTGTAAATTATGATTACACTTGAAAAGAAATTATATAGTCCATACAATTTCACAGTCAGTATTGTATTATTCAGTAAAGAAAGAGCTCCATTTTCTTTGATACGTTAAACTTTTGTTTTTATACTGACTTGAGGCCAAAGTGTAGCTTACACGATTATTGTTTATTCATGATGTCTACTGTTTGTCCAGTTTCGTTGATGGTTTTGAACACTCGCTGCAGTTGTAGTCCGAAATCCACATTTTGTTTAGTGGTTGAAAACATTTGTTGTTATTTCTTTAGTGGTAAGAAGGAAGGCAGAAGGACTGCCTGAACTCAGAATAGAGTATCGATCAAAACAGACCTTTAGCGAGCAAAAAAATCAATGCTGGTAATGTTAACCCGGCTTGTATTGCAAAAGCAGCAGCAGCAGCACTTTGTACATCCCCATGAAAATATGATGTTACAGGCTGACTGAAGAGAAGTGAAAATAACAATTAAAAAAATCCCTCAACCAGCAGAAAGTCGCTGCAATACACGGTTCTAAATAAAACAAGACCGTCAGATGGTGGAGAAAGAGTGGAAATGTATGAAGGCTGATTCTCTGTGGGCTTTATTTGTCTCTAGAGAGAGCCCACGTGTACACAGATAAGAAAGATGCCCTTCAAGCGGTCAAGACCATGAAGGGAGCCCGCTTCAAAGCCTTCCCCAACCGCGAGGATGCTGAGAGGTTTGCGAAAGGGATCTGTGACTATTTTCCCTCCCCCAACAAATCTACACCATGTGTATCTCCTGTCAAACCAGGCCTGGTCATTAGTAAAGGTTAGTAGATACAATTCTCTGTATAAAGAAATATTCTGTTATTTTTTTGTTTAGCTGCTAAATCTGGGTTTTCATCCAAGTTATGGCACACTCATCTTTTTGGTCACGCTGAAGGATATCACTCCTACAAAGGTGCACATTGTGTTGGCTAATTGAAGGAATCATTCTATATTGCAACCCATGCAATATAGAACGGTTGTGTCGGCCTGGTTGTGGTCAATAGTAGCTGACCCTAAATGATGCATTGGGCACACCATCCTTGAACAGTATTTGGAGCACTTTTTCACAGCAGCATCTGTTCTTTCGCTCTCTTCTCCCTTTCCACACCAGACAACATGGAGGTTGATGCCATCAACCGGGAGCGGGCCAACAGTTTCAAGAGCCCACGCACCCAAGACCTGACGGCCAAACTGAGGAAAGCTGTGGAGAAAGGTGACGAGGTGACCTTCAAAGACCTGGTCTGGAGCAACCCTCGCTATCTCATTGGCTCAGGGGATAATCCCACTATTGTGCAGGTGAACATTGAATTTCTTTTTACTCATCTCAGATTGAACTCTGAATCCATTTTTTTTTTTACATAGAATTGATAGAACTTTAATTGTCCTTGTCGGAGTAGTCCTGTGGTCCTTCAGGAATACACTAAATGCGGTGTGTTTAATCCCTTACTTCAGCAGGTGATGTCAAGGTCGGTTGCTGCTTTTAGGCAAAATGAAGCATTCTTTCCTGTTGACAGGAGATTTAAGAGGATTATCTCCTGATCCACACAGTTGTTCCGCTGTTTTTTCTGGTCAGGAGGGCTGCCGGTATAACGTAATGCACGTGGCATCAAAGGAGAACCAGGCAGGAATCGCTCAGCTGCTGCTGGACACGTTGGAGAACCCAGAGTTCATGCGCCTCATGTATCCAGACGACAAGGAAGTCATGCTGCAGAAACGAATCCGCTACATTGTAGATCTTTACCTCAACACTCCAGATAAGGCTGTAAGCTCTTTTTTTTAACCATGCCAGCAAAACCAGATTCAATTATATTATTTCATATTTCAAACGGTCCTGTTTGTCGGGTTGTGTTCATGTCGGTCCGTATGTTCCAGGGCTTTGAAACGCCGCTCCACTTTGCCTGTAAGTTCGGCTGCCCGGACGTGGTCAACGTCCTGTGCTCGCATCCCGACAGCGATAAGACCTGTAAGAACAAGAACGGCCAGAAGCCCTGTGATGTAAGTTTTAATTTCAACTCTCATTGAACTCTGTTTCATGCCCAACGAGCGAGGGAACCCTCGGCATGGCCGGGCTTGTAGTTGCTTGCATTCCCGACTGTGTACACATGGAAGCTGTCTAGCAGCCTCGCACAGTACGGCTGAACTCTGGCCGTCATGGCCGAGGGTGGCTACAGTTTCGCCTACTCAGGTCTTGCTGCTGTGACCTTTTTTTAGCTTGTTTTAAAAAAAAAATCTTTTGGCAACAATCCCTTACTGCATATTGAAGGCTAAAATTAGATGAACATGAGCAAGTTCTGGCCCCAGCTAATCCAGCAGCAACTGTTGTATGTCGTCAGCTGCACAGACTAACTGTTTTTGTTCTTTGTCACAGCTCATTTGTAGCAGAAAAAATAAAACCCAAGAAGTGAAGCAGAAAATAAGTGAATATTTGGAGGGTAAGGAATTATTCTAAAAACCTCATTAGCAGGTTGATGTGAAATATAACTCTTTACTTAATTAACTGGCTCTGTGTACTATTGAATACATTGCTTTCCATTCAGTTTTTTAATTAAATGTAAATGTTACTAATGTTATCTGGTTATGTGTTTCTGTTCAATCACTGAGTGTCAGCCTGGGATGTGAACAAGTGTTGTACTGCTACTGTACGGACGCTGGACAGAGGGCAATGCGTTTGGCGTGACTTTCTGTTTGAATGAGCTTTGATCTTCTAGATCTACCCTCGATGAAAATACAAGTGTAATATGTAATATTTATTTGGTCTCACAGACCGATGCTATATCCCTTTGCTGAGGGCCACCGACAACACCTCTCAGCCCGTCATTGGCGGCTTGTGGTCTCCGGAGTCCTCAGAAAGTCTCTCGCTGACGCAGCGGCAGGCGAGAAGCCCAATGGATCCTGTGATGACTGTCGCAGCCTTCGCTGGCCCACTGAGTCCTTCCAAAGCAAGTCCCTTACCCGATGACCCGTCTATACGTACTTAAGATTTGCATAAAGTATGCATGGTAACATCTATTGACCGTCACGTATTCTTTTCTCCTGCAGGCAGATGATTTCCGGCGGTCCTGGAAGACGCCACCCAGAGACCGGGCGGAGCGTTTTCGCCAGATCCTGAAGTCTGATCCCGACCGAGGAGTAGAGCGAGTGGGCAGGTACGTCCTCCACCTCATTCTGCTCATGAAGTCTTTCTATGTATTCTCAGATACATTGTGAGCGCACTGAAGCCACTGGGCGTATTGCTGCAATTTCTAATGCATTAAAAGGCAATAGTCACAAGGCCTTATTATTATTATTATTGGGTGAAAGAAATAGTAGAAACAACCGTCAGTGTAGCACAATAAAACGGCTCTCTCTAGAGTGAGCCCTCAGTCAATCCTACTGTACGACTGACGTCACATCACATTCGTCCTGGAAAAAGCACAATGTAAAGTCTGTTTTATCCTTTGCCCTACAGAGACCTGGCACATGAGATGGGACACCCATGGGCCGAGTACTGGGACTTTCTCGACAGTTTTGTGGATCTCTCGTCAACCGAGGGGCTCCGCAAGCTGGACGAGTACCTCAGCAGAAAGGATTTCAGCCCCCGGACTCACGGAGAGGCCGGAGAGAACGAGACCAGCAACCGCTTCAGAACGCCCTCTCCAGGTACCGTCCCAGAGAATTGGATCGCAGCTCACGTGTGGTACAATATCGTACGGAAGAAAGACTTTACTGTAATAATGACGACAAGTCTTTCCTGTTTTGGTTGTTCGCCATCCCTGACTTTCAGGCAAGCTCAAAAAGTTCTGCAACTCCATCTCCGTTGGTGCCTTTCTTGACGAGGGCGACGACATCAGCCTGGAGGAGATGAAGAACCGGCAGAACGCAGCGCTCACCAGCATCACGTCCTGCGCTGCGTCCAAGGACTGCCTGAAGGGAGCGGCGGGCGGCCACGAGTTCCACATCCTGCCCATGGCGCTGCACCACCGCGGGGCCGACCTGATCGAGACGGCGGCGGAGCAGGACCCGCTGAGCTGCTGCGACGCCGGCCTGCTGACACACGGCATCGTCTGCAAGAACGGGCTTTGCTCCTCCTCCAGAGACGGGAGCCACAACGGAGACAAGGCGACTTCTCGCACCTCTCCGTCCTCCTCCTGCCTGCTGTCGCCCATCTCCAATCTCATGGCGGAGTTCGAGCGCATGTCTCTGCAGGAGCCGCTGGGCGACTGCAGGGAGCGGCGCAGCAGCGGCGGGAGCTCCCGCTGCTCCTCCTCCTCCTCTGCCCCCTCGGCAGCGGAGCTCAGCGGCGGGCTGAACCGCCTGTCTCTCAGTCACAGCGGTCAGGATGAGGAGAGCGCGGAGGGGCCGGGCCGGAGAACCGAGGGAGGCGGGACGGAGGAGAGGCGCATCAGCGGCAGCTCAGAGGAGTACTTTGAAGCAGAGGAGAGCCTGGAGGTGTTGGGCAGGACTAGGGGTTCGCCGTCAGGGGGGCGCAACTTCTGCGCTCGGTCCAAGTCGTGGGACCATGGGGGGAGGGACCTCAGCAGCTCGGGGTCCTCCGGGTCCTCCTACAAGTCCTTGGAGAACTCCAATGAGTTCCTCCCCAGGACCCCGCCGCATCATTGGAGAGGACTTTTCATCGAGGGGTGAGTCCGCCGCATCCAGTTACCAATGGGTTCCATGATCCGAGACCTCGGAGTTACATCATACATCATAATTTTAATAATAATAATAATTCACTCTTTAATCTTGTTAATTGATGTTTTTACAGGGATTCACCCTCCAGGTTGGACAGAGAGGTCATGTTGGCAATAGACGGTTCAGACCTCGATCCCCTGAAGTATCCCAGCATTCACAAGTGGAAGAGCACAATGAAGTCCTACTCTGCGTCCGACATGCTGAGGTTAGTGGGTGTGGCCTATTGTAGGTGTACTGATTTTACCGTGTGGTCATGATGCTCTGGCCTGGAAAAGTATAAATGTTCTCAGCGGCTGATTAAAATCTGAGTAACTCATTAAAAAAAAGAAAGAAAAAAAAAAAAGGTACCTTTTCAGTATTAACCGCAAGGTAACAATACTGTCAGAGCAACGACTGACCGCGTTGATGTGTGTCGTCTAGCTGGCCCAGCCCTGCGATGGCAAAACCGCGCCTCAGGACGCCGCAGCAGACTCTCGGGTCCCCGGTCGCTGGTCAGATGTCTCCCACCGGTCGCTTCAGTCCCGCCCGGCACGCCGCCTCGCCGGACTTCAGCCCCAGCCGTTACAGCCCCGCCAACGCCAGCTACATCCAGCGCATCCGCCTCAAGCACTTGAACGGGCCGGCGGTCTGACCGACCACTTTGCCCCACCGCCGGCCTCTCCGTCCCACTGAACATCCAGCTGCACCGAGGTGGCTACAACCCCTATACCCAACAGAAATATGCACAAGCTCTGGAAGATTTGTATTGGTGATGTACGGTACTGTTCTTATGTAATACAGGAATTCTCAACACGTTGTGATGTACACCCAAAAAAAGAACGTGATAATTTATGTACTGTACGAATGTGGGCCACGTTGAATTGACGGTAATGTTATTTGTGGGAAGTGTGAAGCACCTGTAACATAGTATGAACACAAGCCGCTCTCCCCACAGTTCGCTCATCCTCAACAGAATTCTGTCACTGAGGATGTTCTTTTAAAAAAAAAAAAAAAGGTAAATTGTCAATATTTTAAAAAGTTATTTTTTTGTATGTTGGTCAGTAGCACAAAAAATGTAATGTTTTTATTAATGGTGTTAAAACCGACTGCCGTTTCCTATGTTTTCCTCAGTTCAGGAATTGCCTTAATTTTCTGACGGGAGTTTGGACGCTCTCTCTAGCTCATTGGTGAAATATCTGGAAATGGTCATTCAGATGATTAGGGAAAAACATGGTAATAAACTGATTAGGCTGAAACCTTCCATGTTTTTATTTTTCTTCAATAAATACATACATTTTCCATCTTTTCTCGGTGGTTCCTGGACATATCTTGACTTTTTTTTTTCCCTTTCTGCCACAACCAGCGGCCTTAGACTACCTGCTGTAATCACGAGGGCCGAAAATAAAATGTGTTGGCTTATTATAGAAAAACTGCCTTACGCTTAGAGAGACCAACAGATTAGAAGAGCGCTGCATTGGCTGTCGATTCCCAGGGAGATCGGTAGAATTCAAAACCTTTTCACTCTATAAACCATAGTTTGATAGTGTTCATTTCAGAAGTTTTAATGGCTAAGATGTGTCATGAATCTCTTTAGTTCAATGTTTCAAATTGGCTCCAGTAATGTATACATGACAGGTACTAATGGTGGAATTTGAATGTACAAAAACGTGTATTCAAACTTAAGCCCTCATACAGTAGTGAATTTATCCTTATCTGATAATTTGGGACAAAGAATGGCCAATTATTTGAAATATTCAGATTGACACAAGTGTTCTGAATGTACCTTTCTTCGTAAACTAAACGTTTTATCCAGCACAAATTACTTCCCTGCCTGAGAAGATTGTATTGTTATTCTTGTGCTCTCAGGTGGTGAATGTTTGTAAATGTTGAACTTTGCTAAAAGTGCACCTAAAAAAAACATGAAGATGCCACTTGTTTTTAGCATTCTGTGCTTTATTAAAAGTTCATTTTCATGGTAAATTCTCTTTCTGAATGTCTAGACCTCATTTGCTTTCAACTAATCAATAAAACACTCACAATTGCTAACGTGTACTTGATTTCTTTGAGATATTTCAACTTCATAAAATAATTGACAATTAATCATTTTATTAACTACAGCCTGCACCATACAACATAGTTATCTTCACAAATCAACATGTGATGAGAGATGTAATGCTAAGAGCAGGATTTGCAATTACAACTATACAAACACTTTTGGTTTAAAAAACTGCCACATATGAAAAAATCCTCAGTTTACATTCAGGAGCAGCTGTTGATCTTCTGCTGGCGTTTTATGGCACAGAAGAAATCCCAGCCACCGTCTCATCAGATGGGGACAGTTCAATTACAAAATAAGAACATTAAAAGTAATTTTCAAGACACTTAAGGAGAAAACTGAGCTTTGACCCTGCAACCAACGGACTGGGCATGGCAGTAACCTGCCGGGGGGGGGGGCGTCAGGTCCGCGTTAGTTTGTCCGGGGGCATAAATCCTGCGTCTCCCAGAGTTCTGAGGGCCACCCTGCCGCTGGGTCGGATGGTGAGCCATGTGATGCTGCCGTTGTTCAGGCCCATTCGTAACCAGCCCTCTGGAGGAAACTGTAGAGCCCTGAGAGAGCAAAGGAACGGTATCAACAAGAAACAGCACTCACTTGACTACAGAAAAATGTGCTATTTTGTGTTCTCGGCCCTTTAAGCATTTTTGGAAAGTTTAACTCTTGGTCAGGACTAACTAGACGTACCACGTGCCCCTTTTTGAACAGCTGCACGGTCAACAAAAAAAAGCTGAAAAATCAACATTAAACTGGAATTTTATTTACAGGAAATTCCTTGAAGCACAATGACAAGAAAAAAACAATCTTAAATGAAAAATAAGGCTGCATAGTTTATACACGATGGTTAGCAGAGCAAGAAGACTGCACTGTGGCCTCGGCTGAGCCGGGACCAACAGGTCCACACAAACCTGCAGACGAAATAACGGATGACATTGGCATGACACACGATGATCTCGTAGCTGTCCTCCTTCTGCTTGGGGTCGGCCCGGTGAATGTAGCGGCGGAAGGCTGCTTCAATGCGCGCCCCGTCTTCGTGGTACTGCTGGAGGACGGCACAAAGGTTGAGGGCCACCTTTGTCAAATGAGCGGGTTCTGTTTGAACCCCTCAGTCAAAAGGCGTACAACGCAGGGAATCCACAGAGAGTTCGGCTCCAAAATGAGGCCTATGAGGATCTCTATTTGGAAGATATTACTTCTACGGCACTGAATCACTGAAGGCAGTAATGTCTTTTTAGAAAAGGGGTCCTCATCACTACGGATAATCCAGCAGAGTAACCAGGACAATGTTTTTGGAGAGGCACATTGTCCAGCTGTTGAATATTTGGAAGAAAACTATAATTCTCCTACCCAGCTGGAGACCATTTGGGCGGGGGTTCACCAAAACTAAACTCAAATGAATGAAATATAGATCACCGTCTACTAGTCCTTTCAACATGGCATTTTGGAGATGAACTCTTCCTGTGACATTCCCGGGGCAGTGCACTGGCAAATGACAAGCATATGCAAATATAGAAAACCAGGTGCATTTTCTCTCACCACAGCGTCGGGCTTCCAGTGAGTGACCGGTGGAACGGGCTCGATAGGGGCCCCCTCCCTCAGAAGATCACAGCTAACAAGCTCCACTCCTGGACCCGTATGACATTCAGGGCAGGGGGAGCATGTTAATATACGTTTGCATTTCACCTGCTATGAATTTTATTAATATTATGACAAAATGAAGTATATGGTATACAGTTCAGCTATCACCGGTTCAAGTAGCTATAAATGGCTAGAGATATCGCTAGCACATTACACCTGTACCACGAAACTTCGTTTTAGATTACAGTTAATGTTCATGACCAAAGTATCCAAGAGAATCATGTAGACAGAAACTATGCTCCACCTCCACCTGTCAAAAAGAAATGAGGCATCCACTACCTGCGAGGTGTTTGCTGATAATATTGGCCGTCTCCGTAGCCCTGGCCATGCTGGAGTGGATCATGATGTCGTACTTGAGGCCCAACGCCGCCAGCCGCTTGCCCGTGAAGTCGGCCTGCTCGCGGCCTGTGAACGGAGACACAGCGGCCTTTTAAAAAAAGGAACACTCGTTTTGTCAGGAAGAAATTGTGGTCGAGACGACGGGAAAGCAAAAGGCACCGTTCTGCCGTCAGGCGGGTAATGCGCACGCACGTGTGCATACACTCAACACTCATTGAACGTAGTTCCGAGCGTGGGTGTGTACCCGTGACCCCGTGTGGAAACTCGTACCCAACGGCGTGAGGATCCTCTCTTTGTCGACGGTGCCGCTCAGGTTGTACTGGGAGTGTCTGATGAGGAGGATGTTGCGCGTGGCTTTGGGTTTACTGGTGTCCGGCTCCGAGCTCGGGTCTTCTGTCGCCGGCGTGCTGGTCTTCTTCCCGTTAGTCAGCGTATGTGGGTCTCTCCTGAGCAACGCAGGTCAGATGAGCTCATTTTGAGTTTAGAGAGGCTTTGTCTGTCTTAATTAACTTGAGGGATGGAAAACAGGTTTAACACAATGATTTAAGATGACGATCACTACAAGACAAAAACCTAGTTTAAAGAAACCCTAAGATTACTTTTTTTTTTTTTAAAGGTGCCATTTATAGCAGATTGGCTTGTGTATAACTTTGTCCAGAAATAAGTATCGCAACCAAAACCACCACAGCGCAACCTTTACATTTTAAAATCAACATAAATGTCCCAGTTATAGTTAACCTGCCATTAACTTGATTGCTTCTTTTTTTTTTTTTTTTTTACAGATTTGGCGTTAAATCCAAACTTAATGGACGAGAACAAAAAGGAGGAGGGGGGGGGTAACGCTAATGTTAAATCAATCAATCAGCAAAGAGGCACGTACTTATCCCAGTTAAAGTCCCACGCGTGTCCCGTGGGTGCCGGTGTGTGGCTGGCGGGCGTCCACGCCGGCTGCGCCGCCTGGAGCACCCCGAATATCGCCCGTCGACCGGCCGCCTCTCCCGGCGGCTCGCCGATTGATCCGCGGTACTCGGCGGCCGCACCGGCGGCTAACACCAGGACGGCCGAGCCTCCGGCGACCCCGCAAATGAGTTTCAAAGTTTTCCTGTACGACATCCCGTCGACCCCGTTAGGAGGAATCAAACTAGTAGCTACTAGCTAATTAACGTTAGCCGGGCTTAACCGGTTTACCTTTAACGGAGGTGCTAACGCTGTTTCGCTTTTCAAATGCGTGGCTTTCTATTAACTCAACGGGGGTTTAATGGTTTACTTCCAACTCAATCAAAGGATGCGGGACACGCTTTCTGAGACCCGACGTGTCGTTAGCTGGAAACTCAAATTAACAAGCTAATAAACGCAGCGGTTCCCGACAAACACTACGGTGGCTCGCTTTCTTCTTCTTCTTCTTCTTCTTCTTCGATGTGTAACGGCAGCTGACATCCGTGAAGTGTTGTACTGCCGCCCTCTCCTGGAGGCGCTTAACTCCTACAGTGTCCGGTTTGTCACTTTACATCGTTAAATCCGCTCTCCTGCACTGGCGAGTGGGAATTAAATATTCTTTTGTTGGGCAATACATTACTCTAATAGAAAATGAAGATACAACTTTTCGAATTATAACCAACTTCTTCCTGGAGCGAGGAACCTACTCTAAAGTTTTTCACTTAGCGGGGACACACGGGGTAAAACAATTAGGACAGCATATGGGTGCCTGGCAAATTACATTTAAACAGAAACGTAAAGGATGGAAGCTAGAAAATAAAACCATATTACACAAGAGAAACAGTTGTGTTATTCCAGCTGTTTTACCAACAAACAGCTAAAATAAATACCCACAGTTGACCAGCATATTGTGTGACTTTATCATGGCACGTGATACGTTGCAGCCCATCCAGTCTCTCATTGAACCATTTAACAGGTTCTATGTCGTCACCGATCGCTTCGTTTTCCGATGACGACTTTGCGCGTTCTTCAGCTTTTGCGCAGGTCCCAACGTGAGCCGCTTGAGAGCGCTGTGATCCATACATCCACAGTGGGAACTAGAGCTGGAGTTACAAGTCATTTCAGCAACTTAAATCTCAATCTCAAATAGGCGCCTATTGATATATCAGAAGAACAAAAAAATAGCGACGTGAACTTTGTGTAAAGGTGTGTGCACGCGCATTAGACGAGGCGACATTTAATGTCCAAGTGGACGTTTAGTGTCTCTCCCTCCACCCAAAAGACACCATTGCATGGTCCTCTTCCACTCTGAGAGACATTTTGATTTCCCATTCATTAAACGCACAGCAATATGAACGCAGTCGGTTGAGAGGGTTTTTTTGGGGGGGAGTGGGGGGCGATTATAATTATCCCGCATTTGCGCGATCCCCGCAGTGCAAACGCAACCTTCGCGCGGCGTGCAGACACTTCTTCTGCACACGGAGGCTCCACCTTTTCAAGCGGTCCAGTGACCTCAGCAGTGGGCCGGACTGGGCGGGTGGTGTCTGCAGGCTTCCAGTGAGTGAGTGAGCGAGCGCGCGCCGTGGACTCCGCGCCTCTCTGCGTCTGCGGGATCTATGCGGCTGCGGCGGTAGCGAAGGCGCACCTTTTAGAAGGGTCTGTATACAAAACGGGAAAAAAAACAGGATCTTTTTTTTTTCCTTCTTTTTTTTCTTCTTCTCTTCTACATGCGACTCCAATCGGAATAAATAATTGAGGAATGTGGAAATTACAGAATGCCCAACAGCGCTGGAAAGAGATTTAAACCCACCAAATACATCCCAGTGTCCACTGCAGCCACGCTCCTGGTGGGATCGACCACTTTATTTTTCGTCTTCACGTAAGTTTTTATGCATCGACCTCTTCTTCTCATTCGTATGCATTGCGAGATGCCCCCCCCCCCCCCCCCCCCAAGATGCACGCACACCGAGATAGAATCTCAGCTTCGGAAGTTTTTTGTGTTTGATGGGTGGGACTCTTTTCAGAAGTGCTTTCGCATGAATACATCGGTATCGCTTCCGAAAAGGTGTTTTGGAAATCGGAGCGCTGCCTCCCGGGAGCGCGTTCGGGGTTAATAACTGCGAGGGGAACTTCCCACAAGGCACGCAAGGTCACCGGGGCTGTTAACGCAGCTTACAAGGCGCAGTTACTCACCGTCCCAGGGAAGAAGAAAATCCGCCAGCCAGTTGTTGGTTCAATTTAAAATGGTTCGCTTTGGTCACGCGGCGGTTTGCGTGTGATTTCTATGCTCAATCGGTCACCCAAACTTGCGCAAGGAGCCTTTCACTATTAGGGTGTTTTTACCACCAGCGGAGTGCCAGCAGCCCCCCCGCCAATAGACTGATTACACAGGTCATTTTCTGTCTTAATATAAACGCGAATCCCCTTTTTGGGGAATTCCTATTCTATGGGGATCACAAGTCCCATCAGTTCTTCAGCCCCCCTGGGGTTTGGTAGGTGTCCGTTTTTTAGTGCAGAGTTTTCCCCTGTAGGGTGGGAGATGGAGGCAGGTAGGCGGTTGTGTTCTAATTCCTAAAGTCCCGACCCCCAGGGGGGGGGGGGGGGGGGGGGTGGATTCCTTATCAGTGGAAGTATGAACCGGATCGAAGGAAAAAAAATCGTGTTGGATTCCACTAATCAAGACTTGGGACTGACCTTTTTAGTTAAGCTGTCATGTTGTCTGGCAAAGCATAACACTGCAGAATGGGGGAACTCTCTATTTCTATCGTTGATAACTCCTATCCCCCCATAACGTGTCTCCATTTGTATCATAAATAATGTGTTGTTTTTTGGAAACCGATCTGCTCGGTGTAAAAGTGCAACACCAAATATGTTCATCACTTGTACAAAGAGGAGAAAAGAGGAAGGAAGAAACCGAAAATGCTTGAGCTGCACCTTCTAGTGGTTTTGCATGCTCGGTCTCAGGTCAACGACATACGGTGTTTGTGGGGGTCAGGTCTGATTTTAGCTCTTAAAAACCTTGGCGCTCCTTAAGGTGTAGTCTCTACGGGGCTTTGACATAAACAAGTCCACTGGGGAAAGACTGTTGTGATTTAATTAGAGATCAGCATTTTGTTTGCAAACAGCAGGAGCCAGATTATTCTGCCTTTTTAGAGTAGCCCTTACTTTGCCGGGGTCAATCTGCACGTCGAGGTCCACCTCCCCCGGCAGATGGTTCAAAGGGGTGAGGATTAAGACTTCACTCGGTTGCTCTTTCGTTCCTCGGTAAAAGGTCCGGGGGATTGAGTCTTAATAATGGAGCCCCCTGGGGAGCGGTGCACATCCAAACTAGGCCACGTCGCCTCGTCCTCAAACACACACACACGCACAGTCCATCGCGTTTAAGCCAGTCTAGCCGTGTCTTTGACAACGCCACACGTACAAACCGTACAACGGTGGTGTGCAATAGATGCATCAGAAAAACAGGTAAGAAAAGTAGGAACATTTTACATTTCTATGTTGCCAACTGTGTTTGGCAACCTCAAGCTTCACCCTGCAGGGGGTTAAAGAACCACGCTAAGTCCATCGTAGTCACGTACAGCACAGATCTATTCTTTTGTAATGTCTTGGCTGTGTTAGAGGTCCCACTGTTGCCAGCAGGCCACTCATATGAGCGACGTGGGACGAGACCCGGGGCCAGTTCTCACACACACACACACACACACACACACACACACACACACACACACAGGCACGTGGTCCAACGTGTGTTACCCTGCTCGGCTTACTGATGCATGACAGCTTGTGTTTTCTCACACAGATTGAATTAGAAAACATCAGTAGAGAATTATTTATGCCTCCATGACCACGACTCATCACAAAATAGGCTGATGATAAATGAATCTCTTAGTCACGGTTAAATCACGATATTATCCCGGCCCGGTTCTAACTAGATTCTGTTATATAGTTGCTCAGACCTCTTGCTGTGTCTAATGTTTTCCCCGTGCTGTACGGCTGCACTGAAGAAGCTTTCTTTTACCTTTTTTTTTAAATTAATCCCTCAGGATGGCTTCATCGGCCATCACATGAACTGCCGGGGCAGGCCATTATTCTTTGTTGTCAAGCAAAATAGTCCAAACGTAAGGCCCTGCGTGGATAGAAGTGTAAATACTGTCCAATGTTTGTCTGGACGAGGCCTTGATTCAGCAGCCTGTGCCGCGTGAAGCTGAATTATGAGCGGGGTGGTCAGTGGTGCAGCCATAATCACCAGGCTGAGAGCTGCACACGAGAATAAGCCTGTCAGGAATCTAATCTTCAGCTTCCACATCTGTTTCCTCCTTTTCACTGCACGTTGGTTGAGTCGTTCTCCACTCAGGTCCTCCCCGATGCATTGTTTTGGAACTCCGTTCTTAAGGAGATTTTTAAAGGTATTTCCGACGTTAGTTTGAGAGAGTGCAGAGTCGTCGAAACATAGAAAAATGGGGAATTATACGCTGTTAAAACAAGTGCTCATGTATTTAACCCTTCAGGTTATTATGCATACGGTTCAATAAAGAGCCATTTACACGGTTGATTATGTATGTAACTCATTTAGTTCGGGAACTTGCCACCACGTCCTCTTTCTCTGGATTGTAGCTATCGTAAGTAAAATATCCTTAATAAAAATTGAGAGGCCTTCATGTGAAGTCATTTTACATTAACTACCACGCGATGCTGTTTTTGCGAGCCGGCAACTTAATTTTACTTTACAGGGGGCTCGAGGTTTCAAGTTGGGGTCATCCGTATATTCTTTTGGTCCTTATTTTAAGAAGGAGGCTCTCTTCTCCGTTCAAATTGCAAAAGGACAAAGGGAGATGGATGTCAAATGCAGTTGTCAAATACAAATCAATTCTGTTGCTGTTTTAGAGATATCCAAGTCAAGGAACCTGTCTTGCTGGCACATTTGAGGGCATAGTTCATGACATCAGCAGGTTGATTTCAACACACCCGGCCCCCTTTTGTGACAAATATTTCTTTCTATTCCAGTTGAAAGGCTTTTGTAGGCTTAACATTGTTTATTTTTTAAGAGAAAGTAACTTATTTTCCATTCAACAGATGGCTCGTTGTGTTCACCCGTCCCCTTCTCAGTGTGCTCTGTGTAACATTGGGGCTTTCCATGTTTTATTAATTAAAAGTCCAAAGGCATAATTGAACGGTGGTTCTTCGACCCGTGTGTCATTACACACACAGAGCTGCTATCCTTTTTTTCTTTTTTTTGCTCAAGGGTTTCTGTAAACAAGCTTGTAACCATTAATGCCTCGCTGCTCGGTATCAGTTTCCATTAGAGCGCGTTTTCCTTCCTCCTTGTTGGTTTAACCCGTGCTGTCTATGCTCTGTGGCAGCCCGGCCGTCTTGGTTGCTTTCGGCTTTTGTTTATTTATTTACATACGTTTGAGAAGGAAAGCGCATGTCTCAGGAGGAGGAAATGACCCGTCGGCATGTCGTGAATATGCTCCCGTAGCTCGTTCTCTGTCTGCTCACCGACTAACGCGTATCAACGCAAGAAACCAGAGAATTTCAGCCTCCCTGGTTGCATTTATTTGCAGCTTCATGAGAAATGTACAAGACTTTTGGGTGATTCTTTCCCAACTTTGACCTCTGAAAGAGCTTCACAAAATCCATCTTCCAAGACACCCATGAGAGAGGGACGTTTTTACTCTTAAGGCGAGCTCATCGATATTCCTCTTCTTTCCTCACACACCGTCACAGTTTTAGGCTCCTCGGCTGAGATGGATAAGAAACCATCCCGTCCTCGTGTCGCGCAGAGGATAAAACTCGCTTATCTCGGCAGGGCCAAAAGTAACCCACAGACTCACAGGCTCACCAGGACCGAATATTCCCTCAGCCTAAAATCCGTGTGGAGCGGAGTCCTGCTTTGTTGAGATAACCGGGGATGAAAACAGTAGCAGGTCGCGGTTAACTTTGTCGGATTAGATAAAGATGTAATTTCCTCTGTAGGTCCTCATCCATCCGCACCGAGAGTGAGAGGTTTGGAGTTATTTCAATTCTGCTCTCAGTAGTCACTTAAGGGGACAGCCAACGGGTGTTATTTCTCTTTGAGCTAATGTTTGGCCACATTTATGAAGGGAACATTCTTTTTTTAACATAAGTCTTTGTGCTTTAGACACCATATTTGAGCATGCGTGCTGCTTTAATTTGTGGTTTGTGCTTTTCCACAAGGCCAGTTTCCGATCTGAAGGATCCTCGCGCAGCCTTAAAGGATAACAACGGGTTATTTCTCATACACGGGGCTCTTTGAGCTCTATGGGCTTCACTTTAGACTCTCCACCTCTTACCAGTGGCTTGGAGCAATAATGTCTCTCAACCTTTTTTTTTGAAGCATCAGTCATTTAAAATGCTTGTTCTGGATAAACACAGAAAGAAGCCTCCTGGAACATCCATTTTACATGTACGATGCTGCATTTATCTTTCTATTGTGTGTTTGTTCCTAAAAAGGCACAATGGCCAATATTGTGTGAAATGCGCTCGTTGGAAATAGCGAATTTGCTTTTAAAGCGTTTACAGCAGCTACATGGTGCTTACGTCTAAGTGTAAGACCCATCCCCCAAAGTCCGGATCACTCAGAAGCAAAAACCCCTTTGAAGCTCCGTTGCTTTGATATCATGTAACGCCAATCTGACCAACGTTCTATTTAATTCCATCAGCACTGTTTGGATATCCAGACAGTGATTTATAGTTGTGATGAAAGAAGAGACCAATGGCTCCCGAGTAGTCTTTGTGGGCCTCAGAGAGTCTCTAAGTGAGAAATTGTTCAGTGCTAGAATGCATTTGATCGTGATTGATCAGTTAGTTTGCACCTAATCACAGCCCTGTAGAGCGATTGTACGCGTCCCGTTGGGG